CCTGCGGCGTGACACATTTTTTCTTTTCGTACTTTATCTGTGTCCCTTCTTACTCATTGAAATTATTACATCAATGTTTGTTATTTTATGATTCCAGGCTTTCGATTAATCAGACAGAGTCCACTTGAACGCCGGGAATAATAGAGAAAGAGACGATATAAGAAATTTAATGAGTAAGAGAGGGATACAAATAAAATAGATTGTGCGTATTTTTGGGGCTTGAGTAAACTTGTGATTTTTGTGTCTAACCAATTAAGAGCCTAGAATAATAAGGATATTAAATAATGATGTAAGAAATTCAATCAGTAAGAAAGAGACACAGATACAGTAGGATGAAAAAAATTGTGACTCAAATTTTCATTATTATTGGCGCTTGACTGGGCTTCCAATTTCTGAGTTTGGCCAATCAAGAACTTGAAATAATCAAATAATAGAAAATGATATTATGAATATTCAATGAGTGACAGGGAGACATAAAAAAGTAGTAAAAAATTGTGTCACAATTTTTTTTTTCAACTCTGTTGGTGTCACTTTCTCACTCATTGAATTTATTGGATTGTTGCTTTTTGTGAACCACAATTTTTTTATCCTACTTCATCTGTATCCTATTCTTACGCATTGAATTTATTACATCGTTGTTTGTTATTTTATTATTCCAGGCTTGGGATTAGTCAGAGAAAGCCCACTTGAACGCCAGGAATAATAGAATAAGAGACAACAAGGGCGTCCATAGAACATTTTTCAGGGGGGGGGCAAAAACCAGACTTATTTGTATTTTTTAAATAAGACCATTTATGTATAGTTTGGCAAGTGGTAACTTGGTAGAGACGAAAGGGGGAAGAAAACTGGGGCGTAACCTAAAAATATCCACTGACACCGCCTGATGACAGCCATGTCTTTCGGTTCAGTGGCACCGGAAACACCAAGGAAATAATTCAATAAAATTATTAGAAAAAAATTCTCTAGTTTCGCCAATAACCACGCCACTGCGTGCTGTCGTTCAGACTCTAACCAATAGAATCATGCCTCTGAATAATCACGCCTCTCCACATCCATCATTTCGCAATGTTGCCGGATTTTTTTCTATTTCGAAATATGTACTACACATGCCCATACAGCAAAAAAAATATGTCACCAACTTGTTTATCATTGTTTCCGTCAAGTTTGGCAAAGCAGCAAATTCTTTTGGAGTTCGCCGTTTGGCTAGCCAGACTATAGGTCACCATACGTACATTACTAAATCAACATAAGCAGTCTAAACTATACTCATTTGTAATGACGTCATTAAAAAAAAACATACATTGCACAGGCAGAATGTCAATTTGAAAAATAAGATTTTTCTTAAAACGTCAGAAAACCTGAGTTCTAATGGCGATTTTTATCTCTGGGCGATTTCCATTTGTCAATCAGTGCGCACTGGGTGTATCCTCATCTTTTTCTAAAAGCTTGTAACATGTGAGGATAAAGATACATTTTTTTTGCACTGGTATGACAAATAGAAACCGCTATAACTAATTTACTAATTTTATGAATGATTGCTGTGATTGACTTTTTGTCAGTCGACGGTCACTATGGCAACGGGAACAGGAGAAGAATTTTTCAAGTCCACTTTGTGACTATTTATCGTACGTTTGTCAAATTGCCATAGCAACCATATACATATTATACTAACGTATACCACTCATAAACGACTGCGCATCTTCATGCGCATCGGAATAAAAGAAGATAGAAGAATCGGCCATTTTAACGTATGCTTTGACATTAATAAAATAATATACTAAATTCCATTGGTAGAACCAGTGCAGAAAAAATGTATTTTTATCTCTTTCTTATACAAGTTGGTAGAAAAAGACACAAATACACTTACAATACACTCAGTGCGCACAATCCTTCCAATAGAATTCGCTATAAAAGTTACTGTAATAATGTCCTGCGTTATTGACATTTGACAATGTGATTTGACACATTTGATGGTGGTTTTTAATTGGTTTTCTGTATTTTAACGTATTTTTTCGACGTTGGATTATAAAGTGTGTGTATATTATTTTGATTATACAACTCACTGTACATTATTCCCATATGACACAAGAGGCTTAACAAATGATAAGCCTTTTGGGATTATCGCGCTTGGTGACAATATAGTTAATTTGTTATTGATAATAATAAAAATTAATAAAGTATTGAAGTTTAGTTCGTTGTATAACCTTTTGAATACCACTCGATGTTTCGGGATTACCTAATACTTTTACCTGACACTCAACGCGTTATCAGCAACACCACTCCTCCTTCAGAGTCGTGGTGTTGCTGCGAAACGCGTTTCGTGGCAGGTAAAAGTATTATCCGGTAATCCTGAAACCTCTTTTGGTATTACATTCGAAAACATTATTCTGAGGTGCTCGACACCTAAATTTATAACAATGTTATTTATAAATATGTCATTTTTGAAATTCCCGCTAAAAATATAGGTCAAAATGGCAGCCTCCTATGTTACACTGGTCGGTCGTCGTACTTTAGCGGTATACGTTAGTATATAAGCACAGATATAATTATGTGATAGCAACGCAAAGAATAACATTTGACATATACCTAGTTGGTGGGTCGTTCCATATCATATCAAAAAATTTGAGAAAATTGAGATTTTTCTTTATTATTTATGTGTTATAAACTATAAAAAAATGCAGGAAAAAACGCCTGAAGAAAAAATATCGTGTTCTATTCCGAGTGTAAGCAACTTTTGGTATTACTTTTGCTATTCTGTTTTTTTATTATTTTGGTAGCAATGGTAGCATCATGAAACAATAATAATCGCCAGGCCTAGGGGGGGGGCAAGTGCCCCATTTGCCCCCCCCCCCCCCTATGAACGCCCCTGAGAGACAACGATATAAGAAATCTAATGAGTAAGAGAGGGATACAAATAAAGTAGGACATAATAAATTGTGCGTATAATCTCGGCGTATGAGTAGACGTGATTTTTGTGTCTAATCAATCAAGAGTTTGGAATAATAAAAATATTGGATAATGATGTATTATCCGTTCACAATCCGATGTCCACAGGTACAGGTACAATGTATCACCTTTCAATGCTATTTGATAGGTAAAGGTGATAAATTTACCTGCACCTGTGGACATCGGATTGTGAACAGGATGTAAGTGAGTAATGTTTTTAAATCACTGCGGTGAAAACGTCTACTTACCTTTATTATTATGCGTTCAATAATGTCATTTTTAAACGTCAAAATGGGATAAAAAAATAAAGTTAACTATCATAACTTGTTTTTGGGTTACCCTGTATACATGAAATTTTCAATAGTAATATAACTAGTGCAATGGAAATTATTGATAATTTTTGGGAAATTTGCCCGAATGCATTTTTAGTTGAGAAATAGCACGAGTGCACGTAGTGCACGAGTGCCTTTTTTAGTTAAAAACGCATGAGTGCAAAGGACCCCGCACACCTCTTATGGGTTTTTGGTTTTCTGTCAAACTCAATGAAATTTTGATATATGATAGACCTTGACTTCCTGATAAAAAGTTCTCATGGGCCCGAATCAATCCTATGATTAGTTTTTGAAATACAGGTACTTTAATGTCCAAGAAATGTACACATTTTATATGTATTCACATCTACCCGTCACCTAATAATAGGTTTAATTCTGCAAAAAGCACAAACCCGTCAGAGCGAATTTGATTGGTCGAAAACAGTCAGAAAACTAGTTTCAACCAATGAAATTCACTCTGACAGACCTATTAATAGGTGACAGGTAGATGTGAATGCATATAAAATGTGTACATTTCTTGGACATTTAACCACCTGTATTTCGGAAACTATTCATAGTATCGGGTTGGGCCCATGAGAACTTTCTATCAGTAAGTCAAGATATACCACATATCAAAATTTCATTGAGTTTGACAGAAAACCAAAAACCCATAAGAGGTGTGCAGGGTCCTTTGTCGAAAATTATAAATATATTTCCATTGCACGAGTTGTATTTAATGAGAGAATTTCATAAATCAAAAATTTAAATTTTTTGTCAAAAAATGTCAAAACACCAGTTTTCGCACCAATTAGTATGCAATTATCTAATAATTTGCACTAGTGCAAATTACCGCGTAATTACAATCTGATTGGTTCAAATCAACAATCAAAACATGTCAATTTATTGTTGGAATACCTGTTTTGACAGATGTATGAAGTTCTCATATATAATACCACAAGAGAAAAAATTGTCTTGCCAAAATTTTCGACTGGTATGAAAGTTTGTTGCTTGGCAATTTCGCAAATGACATTTTTATGAGCGAAATTGCCAAAAAGCAAAAACTTGAAACCGGCAGTTCCTATGACATTTTGCCAGTGTAAAACACTCTAGTAGTGAAATAGTCATGTGGCCACTTAAATTAAAAATCAAAGTGTACCAGATTTTTTGAAAAATATCAACCCTGTATATTTTATGGATTTTATTCCAACCTTTACGTGCTCACTGTATATTCGATTCGGTGTTTTTCTAGCTAGATCCAAAATGCAATTTTGAATGTTATGTCTTATGTTATGTTATGTGTTAAACCCACCATTAACCAACTTTGTTATATGTATTGTAATTACGATTGTTGCCAAATTTCTCGAAACAGTTTCCTAAATCTAGGGAAAACATTTTGACCCTATGCATAAAGTATTATGCAACGTTGCGACATCTTGCTAAACATTCCCTAAAATATAAGAAAAAAGTCGTAGAATTTTGGTCTATACCTAATATGTTTTTTTTCTGTATAAATGACATAAGGGATTTCCATGGTAAGTCAACTTTACATCTTATCTTAACCATGTCATATGTGCCTGTATAAACCATTAATTTTGCATTTGCCTTCCAAAACCAATGCTCACTTGTTGCTCATTCGGATAAACAAAAACTCAATTTGGCAACGTGGTAAAAATTCGACCGACGGTATTAATTTGTTGACGAGCGTCGACGTCGTTATCGTTTACAAAGTTAGTTTAGTAGCGCAGCAAACGTCCGACGAGAAATATGGAGTCCGTCGTGCAGGAATTAACGGCAGCGATCGTGTCGGACCAAAAAGGCATACCGAAATCGAAAAGGAAATTGCAAAAACACCTGCGCAGTGCCGGCCTGGAATACGTGTCGCGAACGGGAAAGTTGATTCCCGCGAAAAAAGTTGCAGGTAGGTTTTTCTTTTGCAAAAAAAAAATAGTGCCCTAGCAACATACACCCATAAGTTATTTTTTTTTTATCTATGACTCATCATTTGATGTGCCCATTTTTTTTCGCTAAGCCACGTTGGCCGATTTGTTTTTTTTCTTTTTTTTTGGGGAGTTTATTTTTCAAAACATCAAAACAAACCGCTGCTAACCTCACTTCTTCATACTTTATTATGACAGTTTTATGGTGCACTTGTGGAATTCTAAAGGAAAAAAATTCTCCCGACCTTAGTATCTAGGTCACAGGGTCGGAACGGCCTTGTAGTAGCCAGCAGCGCGCGGCACGTGGAAAACAGGTTTTCGTGGCGTTTTAATGCCCGTTTTTTTTTTTTCTTTGTGGCAATTTTCCATGACGAAACAATATTAAGGGGAAAATTGTTTCGGCTCTATTTTCTTCGTCAGCTGATTTCAATAATTGATTAGTTATAGATAACATGTGTGTGTAATATTGCAAATTGCAATGTTACACAGACAAAAAAAAAATATGAAAGCCGAAAAATCCCAAGGCCTCATATCACCATCGGGCCAAAGGCGACTCGGACTTTTTTTTCGCGTCGTACCGAAATCGGCTCTCAAGGAAATTTTGAAATCGTGACTTTCGTGACGCGTTCGGTACTTATAAGGTCGTTTTCGCACAGTACGATTTCGTCGTTAAAACGACATTAAATTTTGATTTGATGATCGAGGATTTTTAATTTACTTAATCTGTGTATTTATTGGCTGCATATTAAGAAATCGTTTTGACATTTTTCTTGTTTGTTTAAAGTTTTGTAACACTTATATAAATGTTTATAAAACTTCTCCAATATCCAATATAGGTATAGTCGTCTTATACCTAAACTTATTAACAAATTGCTAAATTATTGGGTATTTGCGGATCCACAAAACATGTTATTTTCTTAAAATCGCTACTGATCACCATTTATGAAATAATTAGTTTTATAAAAATATTCAAGCAACAATTTCAACTTTGGCAAGTTTTATCTTGAAAATTATAAAACCTATCAAAACCAAGTTTGTTCAGGGTGAGTCACCATATTTTGACACCCACCTGCAGCCGTAATTACAGGTGATAGGTAAAAGGTGTAAATACAAAAGTTGTAGCATTTTATTAGAACCGCCGATTGGATTGAACAAATGAGCAACATAAAGTAAAAAAACATGTCGATGTTCACTTTTTAAATTCTTGAAGTTCTCGTTTTTCTTTCAATAGTTTTGAAAATATATGGAGTTTAGTTTCTCAAAGAGAGTACTTTTTTTTGAATATATTTTACCTTGATTAACCTATCACCTGTTACAGAATATTCTGATACGTGAATAGGTCTTTGAATAACTAAACTTCAGATATTTCGAAAACTATTGAAAGAAACATCAACATATTACATAAACTGAAAGCAAATAAAGTGCATTCCATTTGAAAAAGGTGAACATTGGCATATTTTTTTAGCTTGTGTTGATCATTTGTTCAATCTAATTAAAAATTCTGACGGTTCAGATAAAATGCTACAATTTTTGTATTTAAACCTTTTACCTATCACCTGTAATTACGGCTGCAGGTGAGTGTCAAAATATAGTGACTCACCCTGTACAATTTGCTTCAAGTTGAAAAACCTTGATACATTCTACAAAAATAGAAACCATTTCATACAGTTTCAGATCCTAGAGACACTTTTAATTTAAGACTGTAAAATCAAAAGCTTCAGTATCTTTAAAGGCCTTAAATCAAAAAATATTTGAAGTGTTTTAGATTTTTTGGCGGCTTCAGGAGTCTTCTATGAATTCCAAAAAACATTATATTCAAGTATTCTCAAATTCTTCAGTTTTCGAAAATTCATATCCAAAGGAAGGGGTAGTTTTCAAATGGTCAAATTTCGATTTTTTTTTTTGTATGGAGATTTCGATTCTAGACTATCATTTGGGACCCTGAAACTACATACCTAAGCCGTATTCTTTCGGACCGGATCAGTTGATCAAAACGCGTAATGTTCCAGTAATCACGTTTTTTGGCATTTTGATATTTGACATTTAACTAATCATGATCCGAGAAATTCTGAACAAATTGAACATTATTTTTTTATGATTAGTTTGTTCCGATTACAAAAATCTGGACAGCGTTGTTTCGGACCTTAAAATTGAAACATGTTCCAAGTAAACAAACGGATCAAGATCTTGGAATCATGATTCAAATATATTGCGAAAGAATGCGGCTCTGGATCCATAGATCCTACTGAAATAATGGAACTCCAAATGTTGTAAAACTGTGAAGGGAAAGTTTTGCAGTACTTACCTACTATTTACACAAAGAAAGGTTGATTCTTAAGAAAATTATTCAAATTCTTGTAGTTGAAAAAGGACAATTTGGCTCTTGTTATGGTGAAATTACAAATTAATTCAGAGAAAAACAAGAGGGGAAAATTCTAGAAAAACAACTTTTATTGCGAATTCTATTTTTCTCTCTTTTTCTCCCAGCTTGTATAAGAAAGAGATAAATAGACATTTATTCTACACTTGTTTCAATTTTTGTCTGTTACCGGCTCTTGAATCTCCTTCAAATGTCTTCAAACAAAAAAAAAAAATTCTAGAGCCTCAGACTTAATAAAAACAACATTTCTTATAGTTGGCAACGCTGTTAATCGATATCGATGTAGCAACACGTCAGTTTGACAAGCGACAAAGTGGGCTTTGGAAAATTTCAAAGTTTGAATTTGGCGCCAGAACAAGACATCTGTAATACCGACATGGCAATAGATATTTCCAAAGCCTACTAATAGCGAATTCTATTGGAAGGGTTAATGCGCACTGAGTGTATTCGTGTCTTTTTCTACCAGCTTGTGTAAGAAATAGATAAAAATACATTTTTCATGCACTGGTTCTACCTTAGGGTTCTACCAATAGAATTCACCAATAAAAATAGTTTTATTGGCTCGAAACAGCCAATGGTGTTTCCATTAACTGTGTCAAACCGGTTTTGAACCATAGGCGGTTCTAGCCCATCTGTGCTGGGGGTGCTGAAGCCCCTGCTCCGCGGTCGCTCCCCTGCAGGCGTTTTTTTTGGCTGCCACGCCCAAAAACCTTATATTTTAATAAATATTTAGTCAAAATTGTTTTTATTTATTTATGAAAAATAGAAAAGTTTCATTCTCGGTTTCATTATTACAAAAGAAATTTTGTTTACAAGTAACATGCAGGGGTTTAGCCAACAGGGGGGAGACGGGGGAGCCTACCCCCCAGGGCGCAGCTGGCAAAGGGGCGCCAAAATAGGCAAAGTGCAAAGAAATTGAATCAAAATAAACATTCAAAAAGTTTGGTGATTTTATTTTGAAAATCTACAATATACACTTCATTATTTTCACCTGAAACTATCTAAGAGAATCAGGAAATCGAATTGGCAATAGATAAAGTCTCATTCAATACATAAGTTAGGTTTTTAGGGCGAATATTAGGCAATATTTCGCGAGGATAATCAAGCATACTCGAGTATGCTGGATAATGGTGATATGTCAATTGTGTCATACTCCCCTAACTCCCTCTCCATCAAATTCTGAGCCTGCGAGTGACGTCACTACCAGCAGCTTATAATGATGACGTCACCCGCAGACCCGGATGGAATGCTTGCGATTCAGGCTGTGCTAGTGAGTTAATTTTTTCGTCAATTTCAAATGTAGAAAAGTGATTTTCGGTTTGTTCTCACAGAAGAAATTAAGTGTTCTTGATCCTCGAGTATCCCAGAATTTGATGGTAGGGGAGTTAGGGCAGTATGACACAAATGACACATCACATAATCCAGCAAAAGATTGTGCTTGGTTATCCTCACGAAAAATTGCCTATTATAAAACTATTTTGACAGAATAACTGAAAGATAACTTCAGAAATGACAGAAATGACGTTACTTCTCATTGTAATTCCAAAAGTTAACTTTGAATTATAAGTCAGAATAGTTTTATAATACCCGCACTTAAGGCGGGTATTATAAAACTGCTTTGACAGTTAACTTGAAGTTAACTTTTTGAATTACATGTAATTCCAGAAGTTAACTTTAAGTTAACTCTCAAAGAAGTTTTATAATACCCGCCCTTAGTGATACAACATTTTGATCTAATTTTTCATTGAATGAAATTATACCCATATTTACTTAAAATTGGCAAAATTTGGGTGTGGTCACCAATAAATTTTTCTTCACCTTTGGATTACCTTCGCGGCGTTTAGGGGGGTGCCGAATCTCAGTCTCCCCCCCTAGGGATAGTCATATCGCTACGGCCCTGGTAACATGATTGTTTTGTTCTACATAAAATAAAAGTATTCTGAGGTAGGTACAAATAAAGGTGATAAAAAAAAAACAAAAACCTACTTCCTACTTTTAACCGAAAAAGAGTTGAAGTTAAAAATGTTTGACAGTTTGACATCAGTGGGATTCGAAACTACAACCGAAACAACCAAACAAACCAAACAACAAAGCAAAAAATAATATCCAACTGTGAATCAACCCGAACAAAAACACAAGTTTTACAACGTCTCCATTCCAAAGGTTTCCAACGTTGCTAAAGATTAACATCGTATCTAAACAATACCGCTTATTGCCGTTTGCACCGACGATTTTAAGGGAAATTTAAAGATAATCAACGCTTAAAGTGACATTTTTACATGCATAAATGTCACTTTAAGCCTTGATTATCGTTAAACCTTCCTTGAAATTTTCGGTGCAAACGGTCATAATGGCAGATCAAAGCAGAGCAGCGCGTTAACTTTGGCTGCTCCTACTTATTACACACACCTACAGGTAACAGAGGCAACCCTGGTGGGGACTAGGGTTGCCTCTGTTTCCAGACGGATATTTATGAAATAATTGAATAAAATTTTATGAAATAATTAGATAAAGCTACCTATTAAATTAGTGAAATTATTGAAATTATGTAGGTAGTTAATGAATCCTAACGCTTGAATATTTTTTATTCACGGACTGCGAACTTTTGCCACTCATCACTAATTTAAATTTGGGGGGGCTAATTCCAGATTTGGGGGGACTTAGCCCCCACCTAGAACCGCCTATGTTTTGAACCAATGTCAAAAAAATAGACGCGAGAAAACGACTTAGGTTTCTGATATACATATCTCTTTCCATCTCATAAGGACAGAGTGAAAGAAACGTAACACTTTCCATGAACTACTTGGATATAGAAAATTAAACGAACTCGGCCTAACAATTATTGAAAACAAGGAAAATAGGCATAGTGTAAGATATGTTTTTATCGTTGAACTAAACAAACACTCTGGAACTCTGGAAAACTTTGGAAGGGCATACCTTTTTTTCTATTATAGATAGAAAGCTAAAATTTTCACTGAATCTTATCTCAATAAAGGGACTACAATCCTTGAAAATTTCAGCTCATTTGCACTTACAGTTCCTGAGATAAAATCGTGTTAAGCAAATTGAGGTGATTTATCAATTTTTCTAAGTGCCTTTTTTCATAAATTTCGGCTTCAAATCTGAGAATAATTGTGTATGGAGTTTGGAGTATGTTGATTGACCATTAGGATACAAAATCTCGATAAAAAAAAAATTTGAAATTTCATCGGTTTAGTAAGAATGATTTAGATTTTGGAAAACTTTGGAAGAGCATAACTTTTTTTCTGTTATAGATAGAAAGCTGAAATTCTCACTGAATCTTATCTCAATAAAGGGGCTACAATCCCCAAAAACTTCTACTTATTTGCACTTATAGTTCCTGAGATAAAATCGTGTTAAGGAATTTGGGGTGATTTATCAATTTTTCAATTTTTCTGAGGGCCTTTTTTCATAGATTTCGGCTTCAAATCTGAGAATAATTTAGTGTATGAAGTTTGGGGGATGTTAATTGAACATTAGGATACAAAATCTCAAAAAAAAAAAAATTGAAACTCGGTTCTTCATTTACATGTTTAGAAATTGAATTTTTGATTATTCTCGGCCGTTTTTGCTTTACAACTCCGGTAATTTACATTTGATTTGAATGTAATTAAGCTCTACTTAAATCTAATTAAATTCTCTATAAACCTAATAATTAGGATTTCGATTTGGTTTCAACAATTTTGCACCTGAGAAGCTTCAAAATTGAATTTATCAAACATTGAAAATTTTCCAAAAATGACACTGGGACAGTTTTTGCCTTACAGCTCCGCTAATTTTCATCCGATTTGAATGTAATTAAGCTCCAATTAAAGCCACTAAAATTCTCTACAAACCAGTTAATTAAGATTTTGATTTGGTTCCTAAAGTTTCACACCTGAAAAGCTTCAAAATTGAATTTATCGAACATTAAAGACAAATCAACTGGACATTATTGTTAGGAAAACCGCCAAATATTCCTAACAGGTGGAAGGTTCCTTGAAGCGAGTTTTCAATGGAAACTTTTGAACAACTTCCAAACAAATTTTTGACAAAAACCCAAAAATCAATGTTTACAATCTTGAATCTTCCTCCTTTAATAATCAAAGCGTGTATTGTTTATAACAACAAAAAAAAGTAGTACAAACCGGTACGTGCCCGCAATACAAATAATTCGACAACCGATTACCTTGTAAAATAAAAAAATAATAAAAATAAATTCCCTAATGTTTATTAAAAACATAATAGGCTACAGGTGATTCACATACGAAAATCTTGACATTAATAAGATATTTTGAAAATATTTGTGGTAATTTCAAAAGACATATTATTATATTGAAACAACCAACTGCGCACTTTGGCCCGAAAATGTTGATAAAAACACGAGAAATTTGGCCACGAGATCGGCCCTCAAACCACTGCGACTTACGTCACTACATTTTGTTTGTATATTATCGCCTTTTTTTCTCTCTACACAATTTTATACGATAATAAATGCAAATTTAAGCCCTAATAAATTGGTCGATTTTTAATCACAAGTTGAGCAATCACGAGATTCAGATGGCCTTTGAGCCTGCGTTTAGTAGAAAAAGGTCTTTGTCTATTTAGATCAATGCCGAATGGGTGTTTATCGGTTTTGGTACCAATGCGTCGCCATCAGGCCAAGGTGAAAGCTTGGTCTACCAAAACTGTGAGATTTTTTTTTTTGCTGGTACTACCAAGACAATAAAACGATTTATAAGTCGTACTGATAATGAGCCAAAACGACTTATTCTGGTTTGATAAGATTAAAAATTGAATATCAATTATTCCTTTGTTTTGGCCTATGCACGTATATAGAGGTATTTATCGTTATCGCCTTATTTTATGCCAATAATCATTACAGTGAAAACACAGATGAATATTTGTTTGTTAATATTAATAACAATCAATAATGGTTTGTAAATGAAGAAGTCCCTAAAGGCCAACTACTAGAATAAAACGACCTTATAGTAACTAATAGCTCAAGGATATTAATTAATTACATTTTAAACGGGCCTTGTTTAAAAACTTGGAAACACAACAAACGCCTTTTATGCGCGGTACTTTTCCGCCAGATTGTGACGTCAACTTCATCATCGCTTAGTAGTTAGTACTCAAGGCCGCAATTTTCAGCGATAGAAATGAATTTGTGCCTGCATATGATGCGATGGTAGAATAAAACGGTGATGGGCCTGTGGGTACTTCTGCGTGGTGGGGAAATCCCGACCGTTTTTAGAAAGGAAAAAACGACCTTAAACACTTTTTAATTATTTAAAGACCTAATGACCTCATTTTCCTTGGAACAGAGCCGTTTGGCGAATAGTTTTAGCAATACACAACCTTATCTTTATCGATTCGTGATTACAAATTCTTATTTTTTTTCAACTTTGAGGCGTTATTGCTCAAAAAGTATTTGAGGTTTCATAATCAATTTAGCACAGTTTTATAGGTATTTTAATGCTCTTTTCAACGATATATAATTTATTTCAATTTGCTCAAATTTTAATTGAGATATGAACCTAAGTTTGTCAGGATTTAAAAAAATTTACTTGAGATTTTCCTTTGGTTCTTTTTGCTCTTTGAAATTGCCATTTAGAAATGATGTTGGGATTTTATTCAATTAATTTAGATCCGCTCTATCGATTGGAAAAGTCAAAATTCGAGAAATATAAAAAAATAGAAATTCGGTTTTCTTAAGGGTACCCCTTGGATATTTATTTCAAAATCTTTGAGCTTCAATATTTTGAAATCTGTGGGAGGTAATGAATCAAAATTTTCAGGAATTATAGTTCCTATTAGGCTCTTAAAAACCTGTATTAAAAAATATTTTCAGATTTATAGATTTTATGAAAATTGAGTTTTTGACTAAAATTCAACTTTGAGGCTCAATTTTTCAAAAAATAATTGAGATATTGAACCCAATTTAGCAGAGATTTATAGAAAATTTAATGCTCTTTCTGATAATGTATAATTTATTTTGATTTTCTCAAATTTTAATGGAAATATGGGCCATTTTTCTTAACCTTGTCATGATGTTTGAAAAATTCAGAACCAAAAAATGAAACTGATTTCTTTCATAGAGGAATTATGTCAGTGTCCACACAAATGCGACGAACTCGTACCGCAAGAGGCCCGGATTCAGCTCTTCAACCATTTTTACGGCTTGGGCGAGGCCAACATGCAAAATCAGTTTTTGCGCAGCAATATGGACCTGAGAGCGAGAATGAACGTACCTGAAACTAATACGGGAACGGGGAGACCTCCCAGAAGAATCACCTGCAAGTACTTGGTACCATTGATAAATGAAGGTAAAAAATATTTTTGGAAAACTATTAGAAATTTCCTCTATCTAAGTTTATGTGAATTTTAAAGTAGGATTATGTTATGTCAATAAAGTAAATTGATGTTTTTTGTTATAGCAAGAACAGTTGAAGTATGTCAAAAAGCTTTTGTTAGTGCCTTCGTGATAACTACAAAACGTGTAAGACTCCAACGAGAAAAACTAATTGCCAGTCTAGGATTGAACAGCTACAGGAGCCACAATAGGAGTAAAAAGGACAGAGAAGAAAAAATCCAATTCGCTGCAGAAACGAATAACAACAACAACAATAGTTTACAATTGAACAACAACACTATCACCTTAAGCTCGTTGAAGTCAAAGTTCAATTTGCCTTCGAATTTGAGCCTATTTTTACCAAGGTAAGAATTCACAACTTTTAAAATCACAGTCACAAAAACAATTATTTTCAGCCCTTGTCAAGGAAACGTCCCCAATAAAAACCCAGCCCCTCCAGAATTAAACTCAGCAAAAAAACTAGCCAGCATCTTGGGTAAAAAGTCCCTAGAAGAACTACGAGAATTAAACATTACATTGGAAAAAAACAATTCGACTAGTGACTCTGAAGAGGATGTCAAACCACCACCACCTAAACGTCTTAGGAAACAACAAAAATCCAGCATTGTTAGTAGTACACTTATTATTATAATAATTTCAATAATTCTAATTACATAATTATATTTAGATGCATCTAGACAATCCTCTATTACCATTCGGCCTAGTGGTACCGGATGGGGTGACAATAGCGCCGGTTGCCACTCCGGACCACGACAGAGACATTGCGATTGTCAATAATTTCTTCAACAATCAATTGTGGAAGCCCGAATACATTGGGGCCCATTCGTGATGAAATTTTGCGGTCCAAAAACGAAATCTCAGGACTAATTATTATTTTTTTGCAGTAAGTAGTAGGGGGTTCGGGGTAGATTTATTATTAGAACATTATTTGATTTTTTTTATATATACAGGGTGTGAGTAAGTATGGGGTAATTATAAGATATACAGGGTTTTTTTGAATCATGACAAAACCAAATATCTCCAGAAGTATTCCTTATGATTACCAAGATCCCCATACTTACACCCTGTATATATATTTTTATAGGGACATGTGATAAGTTTGTCCCACTTCTAGTATAATTTTGAATAATTTAAAAGTTACCTTTAGCTACTTAAAAGAAATATATAAGAAATATTTTTGTAAATATCCATATTTTATTGTTTTGTAAAGATAAATTTATATTATTGTTATTTATTAGAGAATCTATTTTGATATAGGATTATTATTGCCTCTCAAAACGCCTTCATTTGTCAGTAAATAACCAAAGAACTAACAGTAATTTTATAATTAAAATCAAAATTAATAGAACAATCAAGGAAGATTATTTTCAAGTAAAACTAATCCATAATGTTACTAAACATAATTGTGATAGAATGTCCAATTTGTTAAATTTATATTTAAATGTTATTGTAAATACATATTCTTATACGAAGAAAATCTTACTTAATTTTCCAGTCACTACTTTTGTTATTTCATTACTTAAGAGAAAAAATTGTAAATACATAATATATTATTTAAACAATCAAAGCGCCTTAAAAAGTGTACTTATGTGTGAGATTTGATACCTATTTTCAGATTTTTTGAAAATACTTGTACCTAATTTAAATGTAACTGTGATTGTGATATGTATCAAAAATCAAAAAAATATTTATATTAGGGTCATTAATAACAGGGAAAACTTATATATTTTTTTTTTGTTACCAAGAAACTATATATTTTGTTAATAATTAGAAGAATCTTTTGTCCATTATGTTTTCCAAAAGTACTTATCTAAGTTATAGTTTAATTTGCGTTATATAATTTTTTTGACATATAGTTTATTAAATAATAGTTGTATTCTATATAATGTTTGTTTTTCAATAAAAAAAAAAAAATTCAATTCCAAAAACATCACTGATTATTATCCGACTTACCACTGGCAATGTCAAGGGCATGACTCGCCCTCGAGTGATTAGGGATTGATCGAAGGACACTACCACTATGGAAAATTTAAACACGCACACGGGTAAAACTGGCAGGGTGGAAAATCAAAGCGCACTTGACCGATTTTCCAGAGACGATGTCAGCATCCCCCTTTGCGTTGGATGGAAATGTGCTGCGTTGCCAAATAATACGGATTTTATTTTAAAACTTGAAGATCATTTGAGTTTGCCATCACTTTTGTAATTCCTTTGCTGATTGAAAATTCATTTATTTAGTATGGATATTCCGAGGGATATTCCATCAAAATAGTCATGGAAATTGTACCGGGTGTTTTTTTATCTTTGATATCATTTTGATCACCTGTAACTTTTTTGTTTTTGAAGTTATCAATGTAGGGTCAGTAGCCAAGTTTTGTTTCAAGTTACACATAAAACAAAGCACTATTAATTTTTTGACAAATAAGCCTACATTATATTTTTTCAAATGGAACACCCTGTATATTATATGTGTGTTTGATAGAATATCTTATTCTGATTACAATGATATAACACACTTCATATTTTGGTCCATTCGTTTTTGACAAATCGGCAAAAATATGAAACTTTCGAAGTAAAACTTATTAGGCGGGGGTCTGATATTTGAGACGAGAATTATTGAGAGTGCATATAAAAATTTCATATATTTTTCCGATTTGTCAAAAACGAGTGGACCAAAATATGAAGTGTGTTATATCATTGTAATCAGAATAAGATATTCTATAGAACACACATATAGTATATAGGGTGTTCCATTTGAAAGAATATAATGTAGGGTTACATGTCAAAAAATTGATAGTGTTTTGTTTTATGTGTAACTGAGAAAAAAAACTTGGCTATTAACCCAACATTTTGTTTTTTTATTTACCTTGATATCTTTAAAAACAAAAAAGTTACAGGTGATCAAAACGATATCAAAGATAAAAAAACACCCGGTACATTATCATTTCAATGTTATTTTGAATATTATATTCTTGTAAAATTGAGACATTGGTTTTTCCTTAGGTTTTTCTTGTGCCCATACAAGTAGTTAACTTGCTTTGTGAATTAATTATAGAATTTGAAAAAATTCTTCTGCCATTGAGTGTCTTATTAAAGAGGCATGACTTCCTGTGTCAATTAATAATTTACACGGTGGATAGTTTATTTGAATAAAAGGCAGACCCCAAATGGCTTAACACGATTTTATCTCAGGAACTTAAAAGTGCAAATGAGCTGAAATTTTCAGGGATTGTAGTCCCTTTATTGAGATGAGATTCAGTGAAAATTTCAGCTTTCTATCTATAATTAAAAAAAAGTTATGCCCATCCGAAGATTTCCAAAATCTAAATCATAAGATAGTTACCTTCTTACTAAAACGATGAAATTTCAAATTTTTTACTGTTGAGATTTTGTATCCTAATGGTCAATTAACATCCCCCAAACTCTATACACTAAATTATTCTCAGATTTGAAGCCAAGATTTATGAAAAAAGGCACTCAGAAAAATTGAAAATTTGATAAATCACCCCAAATTGCTTAACACAATTGTATCTCAGGCCCTATAAGTCCAAATGAGCTGAAATTTTCAGGGTCCTCTACTGGGATAAGAATCACTGAAAATTTCAGCTATCTATCTTTGATAGAAAAAAAGTTATGATGTTTTCAAGTTTTCAAAAATCTAAATTATATGGTACTATCCGAGATACTATCTATGAAAAAAGGCACTCAGAAAAATTGAAAAATGATAAATTTACCCCCAATTGCTTAACGCGATTTTATATCTAAAATTATAAGTCTAAATGAGCTGAAATTTTCAGGGATTATAGTCTTTTACTGGGAAAAGAATTGCTGAAAATTTCAGCTTTCTATCTCTAATAGAAAAAAGTTATGATTTTTTAAAGTTTTCCAAAATCTGAATCATAAGGTAGCTACCTTCTTACTAAAACGATGAAATTTCAAATTTTTTTTTTTCTCATTACGCACAGAGCTAAATATAATTTGAAAAACTGCAATACTACAGAAGGAAATTATTTTTCCAAATTCTGGCAACCTCGCAAGGATAATTCTGTTGCCAGAACGATCCAGGAGAATTTATTTTTTTTGGTCATAGATATGACGTCAGAATGGTGCATGGGTCAAAGAAAGGCAAAAGTTTTAATAGGTTAAAGCTTTATTGATTTGTGGTTCAATGTCTGATAATTTATTTTGTATAAAGGACCACTTGTTCACTAGCATAGCAATGGTGGCCTGTTAATGGATAAATCAAGTCCAAGGGGTGGTTAACTGGTCAAAATTCGTGGTTGGTTAAAATTCTCATAAGATGTACCTACTTAAAATTACTAAAAAATTTTTCAAATCTTTAAAAATTTAACAAAATCTCTTGAAATCTTACAAGATCTTACAAAAGGATAACGCACACCTAACATAGGATTTCTGGGCTCTATGGATTTTGCCCATTTTTTGATATGTTGTAGAGGATTTAATTCTGAACAACGTTTAAATGGGACGAAATCTTGTAGGTATTACGGTCTTTGAGATATGAGCCTTGAAAGATGAAATTTTTTGCAAGTTTTTGTGTGGAGAGTATACGAAAAACTGGTGTTTATCAGTCAAAATTTTGACAGGTCGACATATTTTACGTCACTAACAAATGTCAACACAGGCTAAGGCCGGGACCGCACTGGCGCCAAAATTGACCCCAGTGCGGTCCCGGCCTTAAATTGATTGACATTAATTTTAAAGTGACGTAAAATATGTGAACCTGTCAATATTTTGTCTGATAAACACCAGTAGCACCAGTATTTCGTATACTCTCCACAAAAAAAGTCGCAAAAAAGTTCATCTTTCAACACTCATATCTCAAAGACCGTAATACATACAAGATTTAAAGGTTGTTCAGAATTAAATCCTCTACAACATATCAAAAAATGGGCAAAATCCATAGAGCCCAAAAATCCCATGTTAGGTGTGCGTTATCCTTTTATTGGAACTAAAAAAATCTTGCAAAATCTCATTAAAATCATTAACATTCCTAAAAAATATTTCCTTTAAAATTACCAAAAATCCTTTGGAATCCTCAAAAATCTGTTGAAATCTCTAAGAATCCTTTAGAATCTCTGAATTTTTTTTTAAAAACTCCTAAAATTTTCTAAAATCACCTAAAATCTCAAAAATTTGGTATCTTTTTGAACTCCTGTAAAATTGTGTGAAGATTTTCAAAATCCTCAAAATCCTACAAAATCAATAAAGATTTAAAAAAGTGTACACATTTCATGAATTTAACTAATATAAACCTCAAACATGAATTTAACAAATATAAACCTCAGAACAGTTAATAGGTTAAAATCTGTGTACAAGTTGGTCAAAATCCCAGAAAAACTCGTAAGATCTACCTCAAATCCCTGAAAATCTTTAAAAATCTAACAAAATCTCACAAAAAAATCCGTTAAAATCTCTAAAAATGCCTTAGGATCTCTACCTAAATCTTCTAAATTCCTTAAAATGCTCCAAAATCTCCTAAAATCATTTGAAGATTTTCAAAATCCTCAAAATCCTACAAAATCAATGAATATTTGAAATCTGTGTACATATTTTAAGGTCTTAATCACCCCTTGATCAAATCTATGGATAAATCTTAGTGATTTTTGATTAGGGACATAAAATTTTTAAACCAGAACAAATCTTATTATAAAATTCCTGGAACTGTTTTCTCAAGCAATAAACAAATTAACAGTAACATTTTTTTTTTCAACTGTACAAATTTTAGTTCTCCTTCTAGGACCCTGATAAATTGGTTCTTGAGTTGAAAAATATCAATGGATGTAGATTGCTATAAGAGATTTTTCTATGAGTTTCTTCATGGAATTTTCAACTTCCAGAGACAAGAAATAAGCTTGGAAAAATTGCTTTTTGAGATTTAGAAGAGCTTCCAATAAGGTCTTAAGCAGAATTTTTCTGATTTTTTTGGCTCATTTTTTGATTGATTAAAGGGGTGTAAAACGCTTTAGTGCAACAAAACTTAACAAATTTTCTATAAAAATTAGTTGATATATCCTTTATACAGTTGGTTTTGTATCAATTTAAGTGCGGATATTGACGTTTTTTGCCGTAATAAGCGAATATTCACATTCACAATTACTTACACATAACCAGTATATATTAAACCAGTAGATATTATAACTAGTAGATATTGAACGAACTGTAACTCAAACTAACCAAAAGTATGCAAACTAACCCGTCCACGTAATGCGTGCGAGTCCTTGTATGTTGATATTGAATTTAAAGGTAATTTTTGGGCTCTCGGGAACGGGCTATAAGGCGTTTTCTGATCAAGTTCATTTTTGGTACACATATATAGGACGTCAAAAGAAATTTTTCAAAAAAAAATTGACCTTGACTGTGACCTTGATCCTGACCTTGACCATCAAATTAACGTAAATGGCAGTTTAACGTGCTAAAAACTTGTATAGTGTTGAAAAGCATCTCAAGTAACCTATATACCGAGTTTTAGCCTTCAAGGTCATACACATTCAGAGATACGGCAACTCCGCATTCTCAGTTTGGGCTCTCGGGAACAGGGTAGAAGGCATAGTCCGATAGAGTTCATTTTTGGTATACATATAAAGGCCGTAAAAGGTGACAGTTCAGTAAGGGTCCTTCAAAAAAAATATCATGCTTCTTCATTATAGATCGTTTAGTTTGATCCCAAAATATTGTTTTATGATCGAAAATGTTGGCGCAAATAACTATAAATTGGATTTTATAAATATTGAATGAATCCTCTTCTTGACCTTTGACACAGATCAATATATAATATCTATTCTTATCAGTGTAATATCACAATCGCTCTGTTTAACAGATAAAAATTTATTAAACGTAAAAAGCATCATGTGGTAGATATTCGAATGAAGAGAAGAGCTAAGTGTTCAAACCATTTTTTGAAAAAAACATTATTGAGTAATGATAAAGCGTATAATACCTACTGAACTTTTGAAATTGGTACACTTTAACCGACAATAACTGTGCTATATCGAAAATATGCAAACTAACTCAAACTTACCCGTCTTTGTACTGCGTGCTAGTCCCCTTAAACCTATCTAATCGAGAATTACAAAATAATGCAAAACAACCCAAATTAACCCATTCTTGAAATGCATGCTAGTATCCTTGAACATTTTTATTTTATCTAGCTTGTCGCGCTTGGTTGTCATTGTTAATCAGTACACTATATCCAGTTTTAGATAAGTAATTAATATTTAATATCATGATGTTTCCTATTAAAAGTGTCCAAATTGGCCCACCCTGTATGTGAATTTTACTGGTCAAGGTCACAGTCAAGTTCACGGCCAACGGCCATGGTCAATTTTTTTTTTGGGGAAATTTCTTTCAGCGGCCTTTATATGTATACCAAAAATGAACTCGATTGGACTACGCCTTCTAGCCCATTCCCGAGAGCCCAAACTGAGAATGCGGGGTTGCCGTATCTCTGAATATGTATGACCTTGAAGACTAAAACTCGGTGTGTGGGTTATTCATGATGCTCTTCGGCGCTATACATAATTTCAGCACGATAAATTGTTATTTATGTGAATTTCACTGGTCAAGGTCACGGTCAAGGTCGCGGCTAAGGTCAATTTTTTCTTGGAAAAATTTCTTTCAGCGGCCTTTATATGTATACCAAAAATGAACTCAATCGGATTATGCGTTCTACCCTGTTCCCGAGAGCCCTAATCATACCAATTCAAAAAACAAAGCGCTGTGTTCTCAATTAGTAAACTTATAACCAGTAGATATTAAGCGAACTGTAACCAAAACTAACCAAAAATATGCAAACTAACCCAAGCTAACACGTCCACGTAATGCGTACTAGTCCTATGCAAACTAACCCAAACTAACACACCTTTAAATTGAACCACTTTAATTTATAGATTTTTCTTGAAAACTAATATAATCCGCATATTTTTATATTGAAATCGGTCCAAAAAGGCTAACTACAACATTAGGAATGCATCTTATAAGAAACTCTGTGTTGCACTAAAGCGTTTTACCACCGATTAAAGGTTGATATGAGACTTCTAAAGGATTCTATAGCTTCTAGAGATTAGAATTTTCGAAAAATATCCTGTTAGCTATAGTATTTTATTTTATTTTTGCCTCTAAAAACTCTGACAACTGGAAATTACCTACTATAAGCGATTTTCTTTAAATTGTTAACAAGCAATTTCCAATTTCCAGAGACAAGTAGGTAAGTTAGGAAAGGGAAAAGTTACTTTTAGAAGTTTAGATAGGCTTCTAATAAGGCAACTAGGTCAATGAGAAACTTTCAGAGGATTCTACCAAGGTTTCTACAGCCTAAAACTTTGAGAAAATACCATGATTTTTGCCTCTAGAACGGAGTTTGTAAATTGCAATTTACCTTGACTAGAATATAGCTATAATCCTCGCTATAATCATTCTCATAAAAATTGAAAATTTTGTAGACTCTTGACCATCATTTTTCCAGAATCCAGTGGCTCCTTCTTTGAACTTTCTTACATTGGAAACAATCTCAACCACATCAGGTTGAGAGCCACAAAAAATTCCCAATTTTAACAGGATAATCTACAGACTTAAATGAGGATGCACTTACCCTTTCCAGCTTCTGGAAATGTTCCCGAAGGAACGAAATAGGATTCGCGGGACGGTTCACGCAAAGTTGCACGATACAATCTTTGAGCACTTGCTGGATGTTGTGGTGTTGCACGTAACTCTCGCACTCGTGCAGAGTTTGTTCTTCTTCCATATTCGTAGCCATCGTACGTACGCGAAAATAATTAGAAAGAGGAAAATTCGATTTTCGAAAATAAAAAAGGGATTTTTCTGACGGATGTTGACCACAAAAACCGAAAACAAAACAATAGACTTTGTCGGTAAAACAGAAAACTTTCACACTGTCAAATTTGTCAGGTCAGTAGTGTAGTGATTTATTATTTCAAATTATTTAATTTTAATAAACTTCAAGCATGGAAATACAATTTCAAAACATCTAGAAATTAATATTTTAACAAATTATGTTATACGGAACATACGGAACAACTTATTAGGTATTTTGTGGCGGCTTAACAATACAATAAATAAATAATAGAAGGCTGTTGATATATAGCTGTCAAGTCAGTGGTGTCTCATAAATAAAAATTCTGTGAACAGTTGTGAAACAATTTTCTCATTTTTTTCCTCTTGAATTTCTTTTATATATTTCTCAATATTTTTTGTTTAATTTTTGTCTATTCCGAGCTAAATAATGAAGACTTTGCTTTAATAATGATATATTTTGTAAGATTTTTATCGATTTAGAGATCGATATGACAGATTCGTATCGATATCTCGTATCATGAACAGTTGTTCATAATAATAATAATATCCATTTCAATTTTTTTTTTGTCTTGCCCACAAATTTCACTAAATTATTCCAAAAAAGCCATGAAAACAGCACAAAATCCAAGTGCTATCGTTTATATCTTATCTCCGGGCGATAAATAAAACAAATTTCGGCATGATTACGAAAGATTTCCAACCAGTATGATGTCCTTATCATCGCAAGCCACCAATGAAAAGTTAACTAACAACGAAACCACCTCTGGCAGTCCTTCGTCGAGTCCTAGGAGCAGTCCCCGGCCCAGTCCGCAGCCCGAACCCCGTCAGGAACATTCCAGGCCTGATAGTTACAACTTGAGCCCTAATGATTTCAAGCACGAAGGGTCTCCTTCCAGTCAGGAAAGCTCCATTAGCCGCTTGAGTACTGGCAGTAGTCAAGAGCCTTCGCCCCTTAGCGATTTGACCAAAACAGATAAGAAAGATAGTGGCCGCATCAAAAAAAAATCCTCCTGGTTCAACTCCTTGTACCCAACCTATAAAAGCCGCTCAGAAGATTTCAAAAAACTTTTCATCGACGTACCAGGTGAAGAAAGATTAGTAGTCGATTATTCTTGCGCTCTGCAAAAGGAAATTCTGGTGCAAGGCCGTTTGTACATCACCCAAAACTATTTATGCTTCTATGCTAACATTTTCGGTTGGGAAACCAACCTTACTTTGAAATGGAAGGAGGTAGCCGCAATTACCAAAGAAAAAACCGCCCTAGTGATACCCAACGCGGTTCTGATATGTACCAAAGGGGAAAAGTACTTTTTTACCAGCCTGGTGCAAAGAGACAAGACTTATATGATGCTGTTTCGTATATGGCAGAACGCTTTGATGGATCAACCCATGTCTCAACAGGAAATGTGGCAATGGGTTCATCAAGTAAGAATTTTTCTTTTAAATTTGTTCAGTTCTTATTATCAGTATATGTATAAGGCTTTGGTAAAATCATTACTATACATTGTGATTTACATAGCTTGGGCATTAGAAGTTTTCCAGTTACAGGTGGATTAATAGAAATAGCATCTAATGCATGGGCTACGCAAATCACCCTGTATAGTACTAAGACTTAGATATGGTATTATCAGGGGGTTTTTCACCTAACAATATTTGTACACCGATTAACAGTATTAACTGATATTTCCATGTATAACAGATATTTCTATGTAATACAAGTTACTGCCAACTATTTCCATGTTATAACAAAATATTTCCACATATTGTCAGGTATTTCTCTAGTATTGTCATATATTACCTCACATATTACTAGGTCTTGCCAGAATTCTGGGTATTGACATTATCCACAGGTATTTACATGTTATTAACATTATATTGCCTAGATATTTACAAGTATTGACACATATTATCTACATAATAACATAGTATTGACCTCTGTATTGACATATATTAACCCAGTGATTTGTACACTGATTAACAAGGTGAAAAACATCGAGGGGTTTTTCACCTAACAAACACACAGTATTAACTGATATTTTTCCATGTATTAACAGATATTTCTATGTAATATAAGTTATTGACAACTATTTTCATGTATTAACAAAATATTTTCACATATTGCCAGGCATTTCCTAAGTATTATCACCGAGATTATCACATATTACCAGGTACTGCTATTGACAGATTAAAATCAAATATTTGTCTACACTTTATTTTTTCCCAAGATAGATTTTGACATTGAAAACTTTGAAAAATAAACAATAACGCTTGACCCTGATTGGTCGCAAAATGAGGTGTTTCTGCAGGTTGACATCAGGTTTACAATAGCAACCAATAAGCGGCATTTGCGGCATTATTTATGTTTCAAAGTTGACAATGTCAGAATCTATCTTGGAAAAAAATAAACCATAGGTTCTAGGTATTGACATATTATCCACAGGTATTTATATGTTATCAACAAGTATTAACATTATATTGCCTAGATATCGACAAGTATTGACACATATTACCATTACTTACATATTAACTTGCATTACATAGTATTGACACTATGGATATAGTGCTCATAGTGGTATTGACATTATATTAACTAGTGATTTGTACATACATTGATTAACAAGGTGAAAAACCCCTCGGGTATTAGTCTTGGAGGGTGGTATGTTTAATAACCTTGTGGAACAGCTCAATGATGTAAAAAATTACTTACTTACATAGTATTCTTTCAAGAAAACAAAATTTCTGAATTTTTCTCATATTTTATTTTTCAAGAAACTGACCATTTGATCCCTTGTATATAAAATCAATAAGCTGTATTTTTTCTATATTTGCAGTGTAAATTAGCTAGGCATTATTTTATTAACAATTCAATTTAGACCTATTTACCTACTTACTAATTTCTTCATTTCGGAAGTTAAATAAATTCCTCATTATTGTTAAATATAGAGTGTTAAAATTCCTATGGGGATCTTAGGTAACCATAAGAGATACTGGGTCAGTTAAATTGGGGCAAAGGTAAAAAAGATGCCGCTGTAAACCCAGTCATTTCGATTAAGTTGATATAGAGCGCTATTGATCAGAATAACTTAGGACTTCAAGGATTCATCAATTGAAGTTTCCTCTTTGTGAAAAAGTTAATTTGAAGTTGATTTGAAGCTCCAAACTAAATTTGGAAGCTTTTTCTTACATTAATGCATGCTAAATTGATTAAAATCTGCAAAAATCACTTAAGCAAACTACTTCTAATGATCACAGTGACTTGAAACTTTCAGGATTTATGAATTGAAGGTTCCTCTTTGTGGTAAAGTTAATTTGAAGTTGATTTGAAGCTCTAAACTAAATTTGGAAGCTTTTTCTTACATTAATGCATGCTAAAATGATTAAAACCTGCAAAAATCACTTGTGCAAACTACTTCTAATGATCACAGTGACTTGAAACTTTCAGGATTTATGAATTGAAGGTTCCTCTTTGTGGTAAAGTTAATTTGAAGCTCCAAACTAAATTTGGAAGCTTTTGCTTACGTTAATGCATGCTAAAATGATTAAAATCTGCAAAAATCACTTGTGCAAAGTACTTCTAATGATCACAGTGAATTGAAACTTGCAGGATTTATGAATTGAAGGTTCCTCTTTGTGGTAAAGTTGATTTGAAGCTCCAAACTAAATTTGGAAGCTTTTGCTTACATTAATGCATGCTAAAATGATTAAAATCTGCAAAAATCACTTGTGCAAACTACTTCTAATGATCACAGTGACTTGAAACTTTCAGGATTTATGAATTGAAGATTCCTCTTTGTGGTAAAGTTAATTTGAAATTGATTTGAAGCTTTAAACTAAATTTGGAAGCTTTTTCTTACGTTATTGCATGCTAAAATGATTAAAATCTGCAAAAATCACTTGTGCAAAGTACTTCTAATGATCACAGTGAATTGAAACTTTCAGGATTTATGAATTGAAGGTTCCTCTTTGTGGTAAAGTTAATTTGAAGTTTATTTGAAGCTCCAAACTAAATTTGGAAGCTTTTTCTTACGTTATTGCATGCTAAAATGATTAAAATCTGCAAAAATCACTTGTGCAAAGTACTTCTAATGATCACAGTGAATTGAAACTTTCAGGATTTATGAATTGAAGGTTCCTCTTTGTGGTAAAGTTAATTTGAAGTTTATTTGAAGCTCCAAACTAAATTTGGAAGCTTTTTCTTACGTTATTGCATGCTAAAATGATTAAAATCTGCAAAAATCACTTGTGCAAAGTACTTCTAATGATCACAGTGAATTGAAACTTTCAGGATTTATGAATTGAAGGTTCCTCTTTGTGGTAAAGTTAATTTGAAGTTTATTTGAAGCTCCAAACTAAATTTGGAAGCTTTTTCTTACGTTATTGCATGCTAAAATGATTAAAATCTGCAAAAATCACTTGTGCAAAGTACTTCTAATGATCACAGTGAATTGAAACTTTCAGGATTTATGAATTGAAGATTCCTCTTTGTGGTAATGTTAATTTGAAATTGATTTGAAGCTTTAAACTAAATTTGGAAGCTTTTTCTTACGTTATTGCATGCTAAAATGATTAAAATCTGCAAAAATCACTTGTGCAAACTACTTCTAATGATCACAGTGACTTGAAACTTTCAGGATTTATAAATTGAAGGTTCCTCTTTGTGGTAAAGTTAATTTGAAATTGATTTGAAGCTTTAAACTAAATTTGGAAGCTTTTTCTTACATTAATGCATGCTAAAATGATTAAAACCTGCAAAAATCATTTGTGCAAACTACTTCTAATGATCACAGTGACTTGAAACTTTCAGGATTTATGAATTGAAGGTTCCTCTTTGTGGTAAAGTTAATTTGAAGCTCCAAACTAAATTTGGAAGCTTTTGCTTACGTTAATGCATGCTAAAATGATTAAAATCTGCAAAAATCACTTGTGCAAACTACTTCTAATGATCACAGTGACTTGAAACTTTCAGGATTTATGAATTGAAGATTCCTCTTTGTGGTAAAGTTAATTTGAAATTGATTTGAAGCTTTAAACTAAATTTGGAAGCTTTTTCTTACGTTATTGCATGCTAAAATGATTAAAATCTGCAAAAATCACTTGTGCAAACTACTTCTAATGATCACAGTGACTTGAAACTTTCAGGATTTATAAATTGAAGGTTCCTCTTTGTGGTAAAGTTAATTTGAAATTGATTTGAAGCTTTAAACTAAATTTGGAAGCTTTTTCTTACATTAATGCATGCTAAAATGATTAAAACCTGCAAAAATCATTTGTGCAAACTACTTCTAATGATCACAGTGACTTGAAACTTTCAGGATTTATGAATTGAAGGTTCCTCTTTGTGGTAAAGTTAATTTGAAGCTCCAAACTAAATTTGGAAGCTTTTGCTTACGTTAATGCATGCTAAAATGATTAAAATCTGCAAAAATCACTTGTGCAAACTACTTCTAATGATCACAGTGACTTGAAACTTTCAGGATTTATAAATTGAAGGTTCCTCTTTGTGGTAAAGTTAATTTGAAATTGATTTGAAGCTTTAAACTAAATTTGGAAGCTTTTTCTTACATTAATGCATGCTAAAATGATTAAAACCTGCAAAAATCATTTGTGCAAACTACTTCTAATGATCACAGTGACTTGAAACTTTCAGGATTTATGAATTGAAGGTTCCTCTTTGTGGTAAAGTTAATTTGAAGCTCCAAACTAAATTTGGAAGCTTTTGCTTACGTTAATGCATGCTAAAATGATTAAAATCTGCAAAAATCACTTGTGCAAACTACTTCTAATGATCACAGTGACTTGAAACTTTCAGGATTTATGAATTGAAGATTCCTCTTTGTGGTAAAATTAATTTGAAATTGATTTGAAGCTTTAAACTAAATTTGGAAGCTTTTTCTTACGTTATTGCATGCTAAAATGATTAAAATCTGCAAAAATCACTTGTGCAAACTACTTCTAATGATCACAGTGACTTGAAACTTTCAGGATTTATAAATTGAAGGTTCCTCTTTGTGGTAAAGTTAATTTGAAATTGATTTGAAGCTTTAAACTAAATTTGGAAGCTTTTTCTTACATTAATGCATGCTAAAATGATTAAAACCTGCAAAAATCATTTGTGCAAACTACTTCTAATGATCACAGTGACTTGAAACTTTCAGGATTTATGAATTGAAGGTTCCTCTTTGTGGTAAAGTTAATTTGAAGCTCCAAACTAAATTTGGAAGCTTTTGCTTACGTTAATGCATGCTAAAATGATTAAAATCTGCAAAAATCACTTGTGCAAACTACTTCTAATGATCACAGTGACTTGAAACTTTCAGGATTTATAAATTGAAGGTTCCTCTTTGTGGTAAAGTTAATTTGAAATTGATTTGAAGCTTTAAACTAAATTTGGAAGCTTTTTCTTACATTAATGCATGCTAAAATGATTAAAACCTGCAAAAATCATTTGTGCAAACTACTTCTAATGACCACAGTGACTTGAAACTTTCAGGATTTATGAATTGAAGGTTCCTCTTTGTGGTAAAGTTAATTTGAAGCTCCAAACTAAATTTGGAAGCTTTTGCTTACGTTAATGCATGCTAAAATGATTAAAATCTGCAAAAATCACTTGTGCAAACTACTTCTAATGATCACAGTGACTTGAAACTTTCAGGATTTATGAATTGAAGATTCCTCTTTGTGGTAAAGTTAATTTGAAATTGATTTGAAGCTTTAAACTAAATTTGGAAGCTTTTTCTTACGTTATTGCATGCTAAAATGATTAAAATCTGCAAAAATCACTTGTGCAAACTACTTCTAATGATCACAGTGACTTGAAACTTTCAGGATTTATAAATTGAAGGTTCCTCTTTGTGGTAAAGTTAATTTGAAATTGATTTGAAGCTTTAAACTAAATTTGGAAGCTTTTTCTTACATTAATGCATGCTAAAATGATTAAAACCTGCAAAAATCATTTGTGCAAACTACTTCTAATGATCACAGTGACTTGAAACTTTCAGGATTTATGAATTGAAGGTTCCTCTTTGTGGTAAAGTTAATTTGAAGCTCCAAACTAAATTTGGAAGCTTTTGCTTACGTTAATGCATGCTAAAATGATTAAAATCTGCAAAAATCACTTGTGCAAACTACTTCTAATGATCACAGTGACTTGAAACTTTCAGGATTTATAAATTGAAGGTTCCTCTTTGTGGTAAAGTTAATTTGAAATTGATTTGAAGCTTTAAACTAAATTTGGAAGCTTTTTCTTACATTAATGCATGCTAAAATTATTAAAACCTGCAAAAATCATTTGTGCAAACTACTTCTAATGATCACAGTGACTTGAAACTTTCAGGATTTATAAATTGAAGGTTCCTCTTTGTGGTAAAGTTAATTTGAAATTGATTTGAAGCTTTAAACTAAATTTGGAAGCTTTTTCTTACATTAATGCATGCTAAAATGATTAAAACCTGCAAAAATCATTTGTGCAAACTACTTCTAATGATCACAGTGACTTGAAACTTTCAGGATTTATGAATTGAAGGTTCCTCTTTGTGGTAAAGTTAATTTGAAGCTCCAAACTAAATTTGGAAGCTTTTGCTTACGTTAATGCATGCTAAAATGATTAAAATCTGCAAAAATCACTTGTGCAAACTACTTCTAATGATCACAGTGACTTGAAACTTTCAGGATTTATGAATTGAAGATTCCTCTTTGTGGTAAAGTTAATTTGAAATTGATTTGAAGCTTTAAACTAAATTTGGAAGCTTTTTCTTACGTTATTGCATGCTAAAATGATTAAAATCTGCAAAAATCACTTGTGCAAACTACTTCTAATGATCACAGTGACTTGAAACTTTCAGGATTTATGAATTGAAAGTTCCTTTTTGTGGTAAAGTTAATTTGAAGTTGATTTGAAGCTTTAAACTAAATTTGGAAGCTTTTTCTTATGTTAATGCATGCTAAAATGATTAAAATATGCAAAAATCACGTGTGCAAAGTACTTCTAATGATCACAGTGTCTTGAAACTTTCAGGATTTATGAACTAAAGTTTCCTCTTTGTGGAAAAGTTAATTTAAAGTTGATTTGAAGCTTCAAACTAAATTTGGAAGCTTTTTCTTACGTTATTGCATGCTAAAATGATTAAAATCTGCAAAAATCACTTGTGCAAAATACTTCTAATAATCACAGTGATTTGAAACTTTCAGGATTTATGAATTGAAGGTTCCTCTTTGTGGTAAAGTTAATTTGAAGTTGATTTGAAGCTTCAAACTAAATTTGGAAGCTTTTTCTTACGTTAATGCATGCTAAAGTGATTAAAATCTGCAAAAATCGTTTGTGCAAAATACTTCCAATGATCACAGTGACTTGAAACTTTCAAGATTTATTAATTGCAGTTTCCTCTTTGTGGAAAAGTTAATTGAAAGTTGATTTGAAGCTTCTAACTAAATTTGGAAGCTTTTTTTTAAGTTAATGCATGCAAAAATAATTAAAATCTGCAAAAATGACTTGTGTAAAATACTTCCAATTATCACAGTGACTTAAAACTTTCAGGATTTATGAATTGAAGGTTCTTCTTTGTGGTAAAGTTAATTTGAAGTTGATTTGAAGCTCCAAACTAAATTTGGAACTTTTTTCTTATGTTAACTTATGAAAAAATGATTCAAATCTGCAAAAATCACTTGTGCAAACTACTCCTAATGATCACAGTAACTTGAAACTTTCAGGAATAATGAATTGAAGTCTTTTTCATATTTTTTTATATATATCATATATTTAGATTTTAATAACCTTGTCACTGATATCCCCATACTTACTTGCAAATTTGTAACACCCTGTGTGGAATAATTAAGTTTATTTATAATATTATAGGCTTATGGTAGTGAACTCGGACTAACCAGCGACGACGAAGATTATCATTTGCACACCCGGGACGAAGAAAAATTGTCGTCCCGTCTCTCCGTGGACTCGTTCAGCGAAGCCGAAATACCCATCTGTCTCGATACCATTATGGACACCGACGAAAAAATGGAAGATATGAAAAATTTGAGCCAAACTTCTTCTTCACCTAATTTGACCGTCAATACTAGCAAATTGCATACAGAAAATTCAGATTCTGAAAGCGATAAACCAATCAGGTACTGTGAAAAATAATATTATCAAGATTGGGGTTTTACATTTCAACTGATATACTGTAAACCTTTAACTCAATGAAATAAAAAAATTACAAGGGTTTAAATGAAGGTTTCTGGATGGCCAGAGCACATACATCTGACTTTTTCGTTTATTCCTGGTTCTTGAGCTTTCTTTATGTTTGCCTTCTCAAAATAAAGGAAAGAGAAAATTCTAGAACTTAGAATAAAATTTCAAATCCATTCAAACTGCTTGTTTTTTTATAATCATCATTTCAATCAGATTAAATCGCTTCAAATCACATTGTGTTTCCAAAAATCGTTTATAATCTTCATTAATCCTTTTAATCATTGAAAATCCCACTTAAACTTTTCGCCAATACAGGGTGTGCAATATGTATTCGTTATAAATCTTGATGTCATTGTATGTCAAATCATAAAATTTTGTGTTATACAGGGTGTAATGTTAATGAAATATTCTTTTTTCAGCATGAAAGGTGATCTAACCCAAGTCGAATGCACAGAATCGCACGATGGCAGACTTCTAATGGACGAAGTCTACCCCATCCACATCGATCAACTTTTCACCCTTCTCTTTACGTCTTCGAAATTCTATTTGGATTTCCACGCTTCAAGAAAAACCACCGATTTGACTCAGACGCCTTGGACTCACAACCCTGTGGATAATAGCAAAAGTCGCGTAGTAACTTTGACTATGTATTTGGGGAATACTATGGGGCCCAAAACGTGCCAGGTGATTAATAGATAAACATTTAGTTTCTAATGAAATACGTATTATTTTTTAGGTTACTGAAAGAAATTCCATGTTGCCTTGCAGCAAATCAGGCAGTCTTTACGCTGTCAATGTTGAAACCGTAAATGCAGGAGTCCCATACGCTGACAGTTTTTACGTACAAGTCCATTATTGCTTGAGAAAAATTTCAGAAACTCACAGCTCTATGCATGTAACTGGCCAAGTTAAATTTAAGAAAAATGTCTGGCCTTTGGTTAAAGGGATGATTGAGCGAAACGTTTTCAATGGCTTAGAAGACTTTTTAGGCAAACTAAAAGAAGCCTTGCATGCTGAAGGTGAAGAAAACATTCCCGAGCAAAGAAAGAAAAGCAGAAGAAAGAGGCGCATGCACAGTTTGCCTCGCTATAGCGCTGAAGATATTCACTTGAATGTACCAAACAGAAAAAAAATGTCTCAAACTGGCATATTCACTACAGATGTATGCACCATAATAGTATTTGTAGTACTACTAATACTTTTAATATTAAATGTTTTATTGTACTACAAATTATGGTCTCTGGAAGAATCCCCGCCAGCAATGAAACTAATGGACTTAACATCCCTGAAAAACTCCCCAAAATCTCACGACGAATGGATCCACTTGTTGCAGCAACAAGAAACTGTACGCTCGGTGGAGGCGCAAAAATGGCAGAAGACTTTGAAGTTTGTGGTAGACTTGCTTCGGCAAGCCGAAGAAGCTTTGGAGGAGCTACGAAAATCTATACAACCTAATTATATGAATCAGGTATTGGATGCTATGCAAGTAGAAAAGGGGAAACAGAATAAAGAGGAATTGTAGACGATAGAATAAAAATATTTGGCAAATAATTATTATTAGGATGAAACTGAATGGCTTTACAATTTTTGATAGAGAAATAGTATTTGTGTAGAGCCATCTAGAGGTCTTAAATTCCTAGAGCAATTTAGCAAATTTCTATAAATAGTTTATTAAAACATTGTGATATTTTTGGGTATTTTCCTTGTATAAGTTACAGGAACATGAAAATCTAATTTCGAAAACTTCCTTGGGTGTATTAGTAAAACCTTTTAGTAGTAGTAGATTCTAAATGGTGGTGTCAATTGTATGTATTTATATTAGATTTTTTTTTTATGGTGGATCTAAGTGCTTAAGCATTTAGGGATAATTAAATATTGCACTGCAAATAATTAGATAGATTTGAAAAAATAATATGTTCACATTTTTCATATTATTGCACTCACACGCAGTTCACTAGTTGGTAAAATATTGCATTTAGCTTAAAAAATGCGGTGCTAAGAATCTAGTCTGGACTTTAATGCGAGTGTTAATTATTGGTAATTGGCAAAAATCAAATAAATAAATTGTTTTATTCCCGTTGTTATATCCTATTAGAAAAGTGACTGTTTTATAGTTTTAGATTATATTTTTCTCAAAAAGATAAATATGTGCGTAATATTAATTTTGTTGGTGTTTTTTTTTTTCTCCATATGTTGTCCTGAAATTACATACAGACCAGACCAATGACAATTTAATACAGAAATCATAATTATGGGTTTGTAGGGAATTTAATTGGTTTATTAAAAGGGTTTTGACGCAAATATTGTCTCAGTGTCATTTTTGGAAAATTTTCAATATTCGATAAGAGAATTTAATTGGCTTTAATTAGAACTCACATTGAAATCGGATGAAAATTAACGGAGCCGTGATGTAAAAACTGTCTGAGTGTTATTTTTGGCAAATATTCAATGTTTGATATAATTCAATTTTGAAGCATCTCGGGTGTAAAACTGTTGAAAATAAATTCAAATTTCAATTAATTTTTTTGTAGAGAATTTAATTGGCTTTAATTACAGTTTAATTACATTGAAATCGGGTGGAAATTAATAAATTTCTTGAATTATCTAAATCTATCTATCTACTATAGAGAAAATGCTAGTGGATCACATGTTTTATCATCATATTACACTTATGTTTGCATACAACTTATGAGTTTTATCAGTTGTCATACATTTTAAGTGAATTCTTGATCATTGAAAATCAAAAAAAGAAAAAAAATTAAGTAGTTGTAGCTGAAATATTATCTGATCTATTAATTCTAATCAATGAATTCTAATACACTGGAAAACTACTAAAGATATGACATTTCAATATTACCTATTATTTAAAATAAATAAATCATTGAATTTTCAATTAGTGTAAGTTTTGAAACTGATATTGGAGACCAATCCATATAATGCATATGTCAAAACATTTTGCTCAATTTATGAGTAATCCCGAATATTTAATTCCTTTCTAAATTGTTTTGAACTATGGCCAGTTAAATAAACAAACTGAATCCCTCGTATAAAATTGTTATTGTTTGTACTCATGATAACCTTTGGTCTTTCCATCAAGCCCTAACAAATATTTTAGTAGATTAGTTTTAAATTTCAGCTTATGAATATCACTGTTTTAAAGGTAAGAGAAAGATTTTTCTTGAAATCATACTTATTATTCCTTAACTTAATTTTTTAGACACTTAAACATCATGCTTATGTACTTCTTTTTACTGCTCATCATACAAGAATCACTTCAATCGTGCAGTTCAACAGCTGCAATCACCACTTGCACTTGGGACACTCTAAAACCCAACAAACCTTTACAAATCAGCGATTACAAAACTTATTTGAGTTTCTCCAAGGGAAATCTGGAAACCATTCCAAATGGAGCTTTTAAATTTTTTCCACAACTTAGCATTCTCCAGCTGAGCAATAACAAAATCAACAACTTAAATGACAAAGCTTTAGAGGGACTTGATAATTTGAAACATTTAAATTTGTACGATAATCAGTTGACTGTTGTTAAAGAAAGCACTTTTAAACATTGTCCAAAATTAGAAAAGTTGGATTTAGGCATGAACCAAATAACCAACATTCATGATAAGGCCTTTGAATCTTTACAACAACTGATGTTTTTGAATTTAGCCTTTAACTCTTTGAAAACAATTCCTTCAGCCATAAACACCTTACCACAATTAAGAAGTTTAAAACTAGACAATAACCGCTTGGAAAACAAAGTGATTTTTGGCACGTTCTCTCGTTTAAATAAACTGGAAGCATTATTCCTGAATGACAACAAATTGAAAACATTGGAACAAGGGGCACTTAAGGGGCTAAGCAAATTGAAAAAGTTGGATTTGAGATCGAATTTTTTAAGTGACTTAAATGTAATCGATATAATAAGCAATGCCAGGAGTTTGGATGAAATTAAGTTGAACTTAAACGATTTCAAGTGTGATGGTTTGAGGAAAATATTGGGAGATTTTAAACGGAATAATGTAGAAGTTGCTGTGGGAGTAAGCAGGAGTCCTAGCAGTGTTAATGGAATCAGTTGTAAATAATCTTGTAATAAAAAAAATACATAATGTGAAAGTGTTTCAATGAGTAGATAATATATTAGAATAATGCAGTTTAAAGGGAAAAATCCAATAGTTGAACTTCAAGTGTCTGATATTTTAATATTCGATATAAAATGATTAGAAATTTTTTGTTTTTCTATATAAACACTTAAATGTTTTACTAACTAGTTATTAATCAAAAAAACATCATTTACAACAGCTTAAAATGAAGCTGTTAACTTCATGTAAGTAGATATTATAATTCGATCTTGCAATTTATGTGAAACTTTTTTTTTCAGTATTTTTGTTTGTATCTCTGTGTGCTCTTGTCCACTCTCTAAGTTTCACTCTAGAATCTCGAGATGAGCCCATACACAGAGTCAGTGAAAAGTTTTTGAGCGTGGCTCTAGATAGCAGCGAAATTGAAGGGAGATATTCCGACTTTAATTTAAGGTAAACAACATTTGAATTTGTATGTCTCGGTCTTACCCAAAACCATTGGAAAAACTTTCAAGCAAAGGCACCTTCTCAAACGCCTAATTTTGTTTATATGACATTCTTATACTTTAAACACACAGATATATATTTTTTAAGATAAAATTATAATTCACAGTGATCCCTATTTGACCAAATTAGTAAGCCACCTGTCGCCGATGTACTTTAGAATTGGAGGCACCTATGCAGACAGAATAACATTCTCCGAAGAAGAATCCACTGCCCTGGATGATATAGTAGGTTTTAAATTTTTAGCCTCCGATTGGCTGAAACTTTATCAATTTACCCAAAATGCCAACGTTAGACTCATTTATGACCTCAACTCATTGATGCGAAACGACGACGGCACCTGGAATTCGGAAAATGCCGAAAAAATGATCAAGTTTTCTAGCGATAATCAAATGGATGTAGATTGGGAATTAGGAAATGAACCTGATTTATACCATTCCGTTTACAACACTCATGTAGATGCAGCCCAACTAGCCAAGGACTACAACAAATTGAGAAGCCTTCTCAACAAGTACGATATCTACAAATCTTCCGATTTGGTTGGAATTGATATATTTGATGTTGGCGGTAGTCAAAGCAATCAAGACTATTTAAGAACCTTTTTGCAAGGAGCTGCTAATGCGGTACATGCTATAACTTGGCACCAGTAAGCATTGATTTTTTATTAAATCCAATGTGATAATAATTTATAATTTATAGCTACTATTTTGCTGGCAAAGACGCCACCAAGGAATTATTTTTAAATCCTGAAACAATGAACCAATTGGAGCAAAGAATCAATGTAGTTACTAGTCTGGTTACTAGCAATAAGGTCTGGTTAGGTGAAACTTCGTCAGCATTCAATGGTGGAGCTGCTAATATGTCTAATAGATTCATTGGAACATTTTTATGGTTGGATAAATTGGGGCTTGGAGCCAAACTTGGCTTAGACGTTATTATTAGACAAACAATTTTCCACGATAATTATGCTTTAATTGACAACGCTTTTACTCCTAATCCTGATTGGTGGGTAAGCGTGCTCTACAAAAAGTTAGTTGGTACCAAAGTCTTGTCATTATCTAATGATGGTACCAGTGCAAATACGATTAGACTGTATGCCCATTGCGCCAAGGATAATGATTTATGGGATGATTCAGCTGTCGTTGGTAAGAATTGATGTTACAGAACAAAATTGAGTTTTAAATGGGATTTTGTAGTTTTTGGATTTAATACTGCTGATGAGTCAGCTTCTTTTACCATTAAAGGATTGGAAGTCAGTGAAGCTTATTCATACGAAATGACTGCAGAGAGTAATTTATATTCTCAGTAAGCAAATTTTAACAATTAGTTGAAATATTGCGTTAATTTTTGGCTTTTAGATTGGTGAAATTGAATGGACAAATCCTGTCAACTTCCTTGAGTGGTGATTTGCCTGCAATGGAACCAAAATTATTGGAAATCCCTAGTGGCAGTTTGAGTTTGGCGCCATATTCCATTGGATTTTGGGTGATTCCAAACAGCGGCATAAAAGCTTGTTAAATTATTTGAAAAACAAATGATTTCTATTAAATTCAATATAATTATCTACTTTGCACTTGCTTTTTTCCCAAATATATCTAGCTTTATTAAACTACATTTTCACTTATACAGATAGGAATGACAGGATTAAACTACTATAGACACATAAGCACAGAACATATCACCTATAGAAAAATATCTCAAATGGAAGAATCGCGACAAAGGTTTTTAGTTAGGTTTGCATTCAACGATGGCGACACTGTCGGGAGATAAGAGAAATTTATAGGTATCTGTGGTGTGGACAGTGATTTGTGTTGGTTCGTCCTGTCATTTATTTTGTCATTTTAAAAAAGTCAAAATTTGAATTTTTAAATTGTGTTGTCGTACCCCACGGTTTCCACGCGCGTTAAAGTGAAAATTCAAAAAGTTTTGGTTGAAAAAAAACCTAATTTTTGTTCGTATTTTTTTGTATTTATTCGTTTGTTTCGTTTCGTTCGTATTTGTATTTATTATTCGTATTTACTTTGCGATCTACCTATAACTGCGTGTCTCTTGCTAACTTACTAACTCGTTTTGCACTATGTTCGACATCGGAAACTTCCTGCCAGTCATAGTTTTTAAAAAAATGAGGCGAAAAGAGCTAAGAGGAGTCAGCAAGCCAAATGCAGTTGAACATTAAAAATTATACAAAAATAATAAAAATATATGAAATAAATCAATTCGCCTTTTTGTCAAGAATACTCGATTAGTTGGGTTTTCAGTCAACGAGGGCGCCGTAATTCATAACCGGTACATACCATTGCAGATACTTTTCTAGAGGTGATATGTTCTGTGCACATAAGCTTCAATCAAGGATCGTCATTGGATTGTCACTGAAAGTTATCAAACTTGGTGCATTTTCGGCAGCTCGGCTATACGAGCTAATTCGTTCTATTACTCCTGGCTTTAGTAGGTTGGTTCGGTCCGGTCCAATGACATATTAACACAGATTATAGACATTACACTGCACAAAAATTTTTGTCCCCACATCTAGGAGAGCGATCCACAACTGGCAACGGGGTTGGCAAAAACTCGGATTTTCGAAAATTCCTATTAGGTCGGCATACACACACGTTATTTCGCGCGGTTTATCATGGCGTGTTGGGTAGCATGCGCGAAAGAACGGCGTGGCAAAAAAAGCATCATGTTCCATACACTTGACAAAGTATTCAAATGATTTTGCACGTGATTACGCGCGGCATATCAGTTTCAAAGGAAAAATCGTATGTGTGTGGGGAAAAAGTGTCATTTATCGTGTCGTTTGGAAGGTCATGTGGTCATGTACGAATTTTCGAATGTAATACCACAAGAGGTTTCAGGATTACCGGATAATACTTTTACCTGTCACGAAACGCGTTACGCAGCAACACCACGACTCCGAAGGAGGAGTGGTGTTGCTGGTAACGCGTTGAGTGTCAGGTAAAAGTATTAGGTAATCCTGAAAACTCGAGTGGTATTCAAAAGATTATACAACGAACTAAACTTTAATTCTTTATTAATTAATAATTTCATGAATCAAAAATTTAAATTTTTTTGTCAAAAAATGTCAAAACACCAGTTACCGTGCAAAAGGATTATCACTTATTAAGCCTCTCGTGTCATATGGGAAGGATTATCACTTATTAATCCTCTCGTGTCATATGGGAATAATGTACAGTGAGTTGTATAATCTATATTATCCTGTTCACAATCCGATGTCCACAGGTGCAGGTAAATTTATCACCTTTCCCTATCAAATTAGGCAATTCAATCCATCTGTCAAAACGAAAAATTCAATATGGCGTGGCGGCCAGCAAGTTTGTTTCGAACACATATTTTCATGCATATTTCAATTATTTTGCTTCGAGTTGTGCTTGCAGCTCTGATTTTGATTATTCAATATACGTGAACTATTGAGTCGGGCAGAAACTAGATGTTTTTTTGTGTTTTTTGGTCCATGTGTGGCCGCCACGCCATCTTGAATGTCACGTGGTTTTAATTGCCTAATAGCATTGAAAGGTGATAATTTTACCTGGTACCTGTGGACATCGGATTGTGAACGGATAATACGTGATAGTTCGTTAGGCGGCGTTCATGTTTTCGTACTAGTCTTAAAACCGTGACGTAGAATGGCGCGTGAACTGCACTTATCATGTTACATGAGTACTGATGCCACATTCCAGATGAAAGCACGTCTAAAATTCCTTCCTATTCTATCATTGCGTGCAGCCCTCCTCACTCACACACATGATTTTTCACAGATTTTTGCAAATGACACGATAAATCGCGCAAAATAACGTGTATGTATGCCGGCCTATTATGTACTTGAGTACTGACGCCACATTCCAGAGGAAAACACGTGTGAAATTCCTTCCCATTCTATCATTGCGTGCAGCTCTCCTCACTCACGCACATGATTTTTCACAAGTTTTTGCAGATGACACGATAAACCGCGCGAAATAACGTGTGTGTATGCCGGCCTAATAGGTTTTATTTACGACTAATGTATAATGTGCGTATTATATTTGTGATTTTGGCAGTATAATGACATATGTTATTCCTCCAGGGATTAATGACGAGTAGCGGGATTAATGGTCATTATTCCACAAAAGCGTCAGTGTCAAACGTGTAGTGCTTGTGGATTTGTATTGAAAATTATGAGACGGATGAAATTTGTTCATTGAAAATCTCAAATAAATTAATTTGTCGTAAATAAAGTAGAGTATACTACTCGCAATAATGGCTATTATTCCCTCGGAATGTTACTCCCTCGCCGCTAACGCGGCTCAGTTCGTAATAATCCTCGGGAATAATAGCTATCATTATTGACTCGTGGTATAATCTACTATTTGGTTTGACTTGTTGCCGGTTATGTGATAGTTTTTATGTTTTTGTAATGACTATTTCACTAGAGTGTTTTACACGGGCAAAATGTCATAGGAACGGCCGGTTTTCTACTGACAAAACTCTTACCTGTTCCTACCTGTGTGGCCTTATTCTTGACTTTCTCTCGAGAGAAAATTTGACTGTGTTGACAGTTAAACAGTGCATTATCTTTTAACAATGTCAAATTGTCTACTCAGGTAAAGTCAAGAATCAGGGCGCTCTGGACAAAATCAACATGATGGTTTTTCAGCGACAAAATTTTGTGTGGTTAATGCGGTTAATGTAAAAAACCATTGAGTTTGACAAGTGTCACCTAAAGAAAATAAATTTTCCAAATTAAAATTTGGCTTGTTTTTCTCGTGAAATAGTCCAGCCGAATACCACTCAAGAAAAAATTATGTAGGCTAAATTATTCTCTTCGTTTTATTCAAATTTGTTGCTTTTTGGTAATTTCGCGAATGAAAAATGTCATTCATATGTCATTCGCGAAATTGCCAAGCAACAAACTTTCATGTGACATTGAGACAGTTTTTGCTTCACAGCTGCGTTGATTTTTATCCGATTGCAGTGTAATTAAGCTCTAATTAGAGCCAATCAAATTCTCCACAAATCTATTGATTGAGATATTAACTTGATTTCAACAGTTTGGCACCTGAGAAGCTTCAAAATCAAAATTCTCGAACATTGAAAATTTGCTAAAAATGACTCTGAGAAAGTCTTTGCCTCACAGCTCCGTCAATTTTTATCTGATTTCAGTGTCTCTAATTTAAGCCAATCAAATTCTCTATAAACCTAACAATCAAGATTTTAATTCAGTTCCAACAGTCTTGCACCTGAGAAGCTTCAATATCGAAATTATCGAACAACAATGGAAATTTGCTAAACGAAATTAGCGAACATTGAAAATTTTCTAGAAAAGACACTATAAGACCATTTTTGCCTTACAACTCCGTTAAAATCAAATTCAAAAATTTAATGATCACTAATTTTTTTATTGGTAGAACAAGTAGATAACACAAAACATAGATAATAAACAAATCATCTACCTATAATAAATATCATTTTCACTTAAGTACATTAAAGTTGCATTACATTACAAGGTGTCCATTGTAAGCTTTCTCAGATACTTTGCGCACCCTGTAGGTACATGATTCTATAATAGATGATATATTCTATAACTAGAGTAAACTAGAAGTGGAGTTGATTCTTGAATGGCTTTTTTCTTGCTTTGGATCACATTTATTTGACCATAAACCTGAAAATAATTTCAATTAGTGGCAAACAAGTAAAATTTCTTTTTTTTTTTTTTGGTGCAATAATATAGTGCTTTATGTGTACAGGATTGCGTTAATTAAACCACAAGTTTGCTTCAGAAAAAACTAATTATTTGTACAAGAACATAGCAAGTGAATAAGGCACAATAAATTGATAGAGCAAATTAGCAGAATTCCCATCGAAATGTCTGCTAAAGCTAACTGGCATTTACCCAAACTGTCCCGATTAAAGGCAGCGTTAAAAGAAAACACCTAATTACAGTTTTGGGCTCTTACCAGCGTCATTAATTACCTGAGTATTGGGTTGTTGTCGTCTATAGGGGTTGTTGTTAGAGAAAACATTCCCCCTGAAACAGGTCTAGCCTAAAAAAAAAAAAAATTCAGAAAGTAAATTTTAAAATTTTACAGACAAATTCTTACTCTTTCAGTTTGAGTAGCTGCATTACACCTATTTTGAATATCTATTGGTAATGCAGGAGCATTGCTGTGAGTATTTTGAATTGCCAAATCGCCAATTTGTCTTTGTAAATGAGTTACTGTTTTTTCTTTGTCTTCCAATTGGCCCTTGAATCCGAAAGTTAAGTTAATGTTTTGAAAATAAATCTATAATGTCAATTACCTGCAAAAATATGACCTGCCTTCTAAGATCAGCCAATTCCAACTTAAACTCGTTATTGTTATTATTATTATTGTTGATTGTAGTGTAGCTGAAAGATTCTTCAGACTGAAAAAATAATAATAATTTATTTAAAAAAAATCCATCCAATGGCACTTACATCATTCAAAACTCGTTTCAACGTTAACAACATCGTCCTGATTCCAATAATATCATGTTGCATGGCTGCATGATTGGCCTTGGTTAGAGCTAGAGATTCTGAAGAAGAATCGTACGTCATCGATTGATAACCAAATGGGCTTCTTTTAGGGCTCCTGTGCTCTGATGAAGAGGATTTGTAGCTCAGTTTTAAGGAGCTGGGCGAGTTTGTGTTTTTGGGTGTCAAGCTATAAAAGCAACAAGAAAATTGGTAATAGAATATTGTAATTGATAACGCTTACTTTTTGAAAAACTTTTTGTTGTTAAAAGGCGAATCGTCCAGTCTAAACTTGTTTTTGGGAGTACTTTCCAAAGATGTATAAGATCCAGATTCTCTGTCCCAAATATCCACATCATTACTCTGACTTACGTCATAGTCGCACATTAGATCTTCACTGCCGATGCTGTCGCAGGGCGATAAGCTGTCGAAACTACCACGCATTTGCTTCTTTGATGGTAAAGGACTAAAATCTGAAGCATAAGATGTTTGCCTTTGGGAAATTGAACCGGAATCGTGATGGTTGTTCCCTTCTTCGAATAACAATTCTGGTTGGTCGGCGATTTCGTCGTCAATAAGAAAGTCTTCTTTGTCGTCTGAAAGCGATAGCGAAGTGGTGTTGCTGGGTGATCCTGGTGGAGTGAGTTTTTCGTTAACATCTTTTGAGTTTGATGAGGAATTATTTTTCTTTTTGGCTATTTCTTCTGTTTCCGAAGAGCTTAGAAGGCTTTCTACTGGTGACAGGATTTCATCGTCCAGTAATGCAACTAAAAAATATCACAAATTAATTAAAATATTTGATTTTAATATGATGACAGTCTACCGGTGTTGTTGTTTGTGACCAAAGCGCTGAAATTCGCATCTTCGTCGCACAAAGACAAATTCATGCTCGACTTTAAGCTATCAATCATTTCTAGAGACTTTGCAGGCTTGAGTACAGTTTCCAGTAAAGAATCTGCTATACTTCCAGATTTGGTTTTGGTTGATTTTGAATGTTCTGGTTGCGATTTGATTTTAGGGCTTGAACTTAGACTTAGGTCGTCTGCCATTGCTTCACCACCATATAACTGTAATTTAGTGAGAATAAGGAAAGGTTGTAAGTACATATAGGAATTAGGTGAGGCTTTCACGGACAAGGTTTATTGATAAAGTGTTTTCATTCGGGGTTATTGGCCATCGTAAGTTGAAATTTTTTCCTGCGCTAACACGCGTGGCTAGCATCTTAAGAGATGATACTCATAAACGCAAGAAAGATCCCATTGAATACAGAGAAAGTTCAGATTAGTCATGTGCTGTGAAGCACCGCCACAAACACTCACACATAAATACATCTTGCGGTCAGAAACGCGTCAGTGTGCTACCAGAATCGGACAAGGAAGCACATATGAAGATGTTAGCCACGCGAGCTAGCGAAACTTTAGGAAGAAATTTCAACTTACGACGGCCATTAAGCCCGAATTGGAATTGGAAATTGAAGCTTTAGTAAAGTAACATTATTGCAATTTAATTCTTAATCTAGATACATAAGTGAATTCTTACCCATTCCTGGTCGCTAGAACTTTGTGGACTATCCAGCATCTCCCTATGTCTATTTTTGAGGAAAGCTTTAGGGCTGGAATTGAGGAAGCTCTTCTTGGATCTATTGTATGGGCTGTTAATTTCCTCCTTGTTACTGTTATAAATTTTTAATAAAAACAAAATATTTGTCTTTATACAAAGTTACTTACTCATTATCTTGCTTTTCAATATCAAACACCGATGGCAACTCTGGCAAAGGTGGTGGAGTACAAGCATCACTAAAACTGTCACTGTTTTCCAGAAAAGCGAACCTGTTACAATCCTGCCTATTTTCTACTACTTAAACATAACAATAAATATTTGTTAAATCAGTATGTAATAATCTTACCTCCCCCACTAGCATTACAATCCTCGTAAGCAGCACTAGCCTCTTCATATTGCCTCCACATCCTCGCAGATCGTCTATTGTTATTGGCTATAGTTTTTGCTGTCTTAGTTTCAATCACTCTGATTGGTTCCGGCTGCGGCAACCGTGTAGTTTGGAACATGAATTTTCCAGTTTGTACGTCATTACTAGCTCGAGATGTTTCTGTGACTTGGGTTCTTGTTATAATAGTCACATTTCGAGTACACGGTTGGTTCAAATCCAAATTATTCGGATTTTGCAGTTGGGGTTTATTTCCAGTTTTATTTGGTGTTGCACTCAATTGTAATGGAGTGTTTTTGATATCGGCCACCTTATTTGTTCGTTCTGAGTTGGTTTGTGAGAAATTAAACCTGGATGGTTTAGGTGTAATACTGGAAATGTGCTTTTGGGAAGACGTTGGCGTCGTTTTGTGCATCGGGGTTTTGGTGGAATTGGGTCGACTTATTGGTAAATCGTCCTTGTTGCCATTTGAATCTTAAATTTTGAAATAATCCTAAAATAAGATTTTTCCCAAAAAACATTTTTTGTTACCTGGTTTTGATTCCCAAGCCACTGTACTCGTGCTAGTAATCATAGGCGTAGGACGTCGTTTGAATCCGAAAGACATCGCCGTCCCTTTGGTGTATTTTTGAGGTTTTTTCTCCTCCATCGGATGAGATTTGTTGTCTTCGGAATCCTAAAATCATTAAAATAATGCACTTCTGACACAAAAATGCATCATCATTGATCGGTCTCCAAGGGCCAACGTCGCGACGCCATATGCGCTTCAAATGCACTTACCTTTGGTTTGTTTTTCTCCATTTTTTTCTTCTTTAATTTTTTCTGGGTTAAAATTTTCTTGACGCTAAGATTTCCTTTAGCTTTGTTTGAAGCGCATTGCCCCATGAATCTTTTGAGAACTGATTTCTTTGACCAACCCTGTATTTAATTATAAATATTTGCTTTATCACACTTTTATCACAGAATAATTATTTTAATTTTTAAATTGTTGATTAGCTATTGCATTTTGATTTAAATTTTAACCAAAAAGCCATAAATTTGATAAGAGGTTGCATATCAACATTATCAGATTGAAATTGAAACATGGTGGAACTTGACATATTTTTCTCGAATTTCCTACCTATTACTTTCCAATCAGCCTTCTTCAAGATCTTTGTCATATTCCCCACTTTTGAACGTTAGTTAATTGTTTATAGAAGACACACAAAAATCACTTTTTACGCGAAAATCATCATTTTGTAGACACAAAGACGCAATAAATATCATCGACAAGACTTTGGGGATTGCGCCCTGTAACTTTTCCCGGCGATAATGGAAAATCGATGTCGAGGCGTCTGGATTTGGTCGATAACGTCGCGACGCAAACTGAACTGGCGTCAATGATTAGTCATGAAAAAACTTATACAGTGTGATATATATGAACTTTCTATTGTACAAATAATATCTAATTTAATATTAAAATTGTTCAAACAATCATCTTATTTACTGGATGGCGTTTTGCGTACTCTTCAAAAATGGAGACAACAGACACCAAAGTCTCTTTGGCGCATGATAAAATTTGATCTGCCGGCAAATCGAATCCGTACTCTCCTCTGTCCCTTAATTCGTAAGTGACAGCTATTGGAACTTCATAGATACCTTTTACCCAATCCATGCTACTTCCCGTGGCGATATCTGCAAATTATTAACATCATTATATTACCAATGTATAGGATTTTGTGCTCACAAATAGTTTCCGCAACATTTCCATGAACATACTCAGTTCCGTACACTTGTCTTAGTTTTTCCATAGCTATTCCAGCTATTTCATTCTACAAAACAATTACATAACCATCAACCAATCAATTCATATTTATTTGAATTACCATTTCTTCATAATTCTGTAATGGATCTGTGGTGTGTCCAAAAGGCAACAGCAACATTTGCGAAAAAGAATGGAAATCCACATAAGCAATCATATTATGAGTGATATTTGCGATAAAATCTCTCATAATGGCAACAGAAGGCTCAGAAAACGGACGCGGACCCGCGTAAGTGTCTGAGCATGGATTCTGTGAAGCCCCTCCGTTCATCCATTGATAACCCCAATTACGATTAGGGTCTGCACCCCAGCAAAATATGTTATAACGAGTACGAGTTTTACGCCACATCCGATTCTAAGTATATAAAAAATCATCAAACTATTGATCAACATAATAATAATTTTTACATGAGTATGAGAATACACAAATCCATCTGGATTCATCAAAGGGAAAAAGTACCATGTATATTTTTGAGCCAATGCTCTAACGTCAGTTTCTTGGCTCCTCAAAAATTGATCCAAAATGTACGTATTAACTGCTGAGGTAATCCATTCTCTGGCGTGAATATTGGATTCCATAAAAACCACTTGCTTTTCAACTGTAGGGCTGAAATCCAGCTTAATACCGACAATATCTCTACCCTCGTGCGTTTTTCCAGGTTTGAGTATTGTGACAAACTCTGGAAATTCAATTGCAAGACTTTCCAGCCAGGAATTGATCTGCAATAATCAGTTATTTAAATAATAATAGGAATTAATTCTTACTTCGTCATAAGTGTTATAGACTAGCCAATTAACCGGATTGGGTGCGTCGGTTCTGGCTAAAGGATTTTCCAAATCGATTCTCTCTTGTAGATCTTCAATCATCACCCGTTGATCTACATTTAATTCACTCAAAACATCTTCAATGTGCTTCTGCATTTGGGGAGCTACCATCAAAGTAATTTCTTGATTAATTCTTATGGGGCCTTGCCAGAATTGGTAAGGGGAGTAATCTGTAGCTGCATCTTCAAGTTCTTGAAAAGTTTTCAGTGCAATGTCATCTTTGGGATTAATTTTGTAGACTTTGTAATTTTTGTAGCTGACTTTGGCTTGTAATGATTGACCCAAGAAGATTAGGGTCAAGAGCAGTGAATAAAACTGCTTCATATTTTGTAGCTCAGTTGACTGATTACATTGTTTTTTGTAACAAGCGAATTTATATTGAATTTAATTTAGATAGTAGTTGTAAATCTAGTTGTATTAAGTTGTAATTGATGTACAATAAAAGCATATCAATGGAATATGTGTTTGGAATTATTTATAAGAGTTGATTATGGATAATTATTGTGACACATAAAAAAGTTTTAGGTAACAACAATAAAAACCATACGTGGGAATTTCATTCAGTAAAATAAGAAGCTTGTAAAGTCGCAGTATTATCGTTTTTTAATCCCCTCTGCATCCATGTATCTACTAATCCATAGAATGATATATTATTTGTTTTGTAGCTGATGATTGAGATGTTTACATATTGATTAATTATCCTTATGGAGTTGTAATTTATGAATAGGTACTTCGTAAACAATGGAAATCATATCTGATCTTTCAAAAAACGTTAACATTTTTTACATACGAGCGTGCGGTAAAGTGCACTTTACCGCACTTATTTGCAAATGGAAAGTTACCGCACACTATGTGGTAAAGTAACTTTACCGCATAGTGTGCGGTAAAGTTAACTTTACAACATAGTATGCGGTAAAGTGGACCGCAAAGTGTGCGATAAAGTTTAACTTTACCGCATAGTACCTATGCGGTAAAGTAAACTTTTGTATTTATGATTAAAAATCCTTTCCTTTTCAGAAAATGGATTTTTGATCATTTCTAAATCTAATCTAATTTCATTAATTAATTTTATTAATGCCTTTTTTTAAAGATGTAGATGCTCATAGGTAAAATTTTGTACCACCATGCGGAAAGTGCCTTTACCGCACTTAAGGGCTTGACCGAACTCCGCTTCGCGTCGTTCGGTCAACTGCCCTTGAGTGCGGTGAAGTATCACTTTCCGCATTTGTTAGGTAAATAACTATTATGGGTGAGCATTTGTAAGTATATTCATAACTCGATTCATAATATAATATATTTGTAATGCCTGGCCAACAAATCTGAAACTACGGGGCATCGGTGAAAGGAGTGCAGTCGTGAAAAAAAAAATGGTTGATTTCATTTATCAAATACCCAGCTGCGTCCGGAATTTTTTCAAAGTTTAAAATCACATTGAAACATTTTCAAACCTCCGCCACTGGATATTACCTGTGTTAAGCCTTGTATTCATAACTGCGAAATTCGCATTTTTTTGACATTGCTTCGACAATTTGACGTTTTATGCGTGAATCAAATGTCAAATTGTCGAAGCAACGTCAAAAAAATGCAAATTTCGCAGTTATGAGTACTAGGTTTCAGGCTTAGGACCGGTTTCTCAATAGCGAGTCACCTGCGGGTTAGTTTTAACTCCAGGGTACACGTGTCCAGTTGCTATTTTTACCCTGGAGTTATGCTTAACCCGGGAGTGACCTGCTATTGAGAAACCGGCCCTTAAAGGGGTAGAAAGTCTCGAGTTCCCATCACATCAAAGTACCAGTGATGACGTAGCAGCGTTTCGTTTCTCGCCTTGACGGAGAATGTTTGCACCACAGGTTTTGATTCCACTATCACTATATCTTTTGCTTTATGCGTACTTGGTTTTATTATATTGATTAATGTAACCTTCAATAGGTAGGTATCCCTTTTTTTAGATCTTGTTTGTATTTTCCTCTCTGCCTTTTACGTTAATCAAAATTAACACGCTGATGTACAGAATAGAGACTTTTTGCACCTCTTATATTGCCATTCCGCTGTAGTTACCGTTATACTGAGTATGCGTAGTAGCTAAAAAATGTTCGTTGTAATTATCAACCACAACGAGCGGCGTTATTTAAGAAGAAATAACCTTGTGCTTATAGCTATACCTATGGTTATGGTAAAACTGTGTTAATGCCACATTGAAGAAAATTGAATAGATATCATCCCATTTTAATAAATAATTAATAATTAAAATCATCTGAAATTCTGAAAAAATAAGTGTAGATTATCATTTTGATGTTATGAAATTAGTTTACATCCGAAAACGCAGGCGCAGTTCATGGCCTAGAGACAAAATAGAAATAATAAGGTCGCGGTAATCGTTATCGTTATCGCCGATAAAGGTAACCATAACTGATCCAAAAACTGCTGTTATTTTAAAGGGTGCAAAAAGTCTCTAATATATAGCTGTTCTGTTTATAGAAGTCTAATTTTCATCAGTTATGTGACACAATATCTATAAGTTGTATTCCTTTCACAGCTAGGAGGAGCTCCGGAACAGCTCCGGGGCTTCACGCGCTTATTCCTTTCGAAAAGTATTCGTTGCATTACGCATCTGTTCCCTGCAAATCGGGGGCGACTAAACACCGGAGCGAGTAACTCGAGTGTTTCAAACCCTTGAAAGGAATACAACTAATGACGACATTTTAAAAATAACGAGTTGTAACACAACAACGGTAGACTTCGGCTCTCATATATAAATACTACACGAACTGTCACCACACGCACAGAGAAATATAAGTACTGTCTTAATAACATGGGATTTTTGGGTTCTATGGATTTTGCCCATTTTTTGATATGTTGTAGAGGATTTAACTCTACGACTGTACAGTCTGTCTGCACATATATGTAATATGACACGACGTCCATGGTCGTCTTCCAAATATTGCCATTTAAAAAAAAAAAAATGCATTTTGCAGAAGGTCGTATTTATGTTGGAGCTGTGATACACGATAAAAGCAACGATACTAATGTAAAGTATCATTAGTATCGTTGCTTTTATCGTTTATCACAGCTCCAACATAAACACGGCCTAAACTATATGCGCTGAAAGAAGTTCAGCTCTTTCCCTATTCTACTTTGCAAAATACATGTGTCACAACACTTGCTTACACAATCGACGCACTGTCCATCAACGTGTTAAATAATATTTTTCATCATAAATGTAAATTCTAAACTAAGACCGCTGGCGCAAATAGCTAACGAAACCGTTGATGACGTCGGCAACGGTGCAATACCATATGGGCCTGGATTCCACAGTCCGCACTTAAACCCAAGGTCGTGTTTATGTTGGAGCTGTGATAAACAATAAAAGCAAGGATACTAGTGATACTATACATTAGTATCGTTGCTTTTATCGTGTATCACAGCTCCAACATAAACACGACCTAAAGATAGTATGAAAGGGCCATGACATTCAGGCTAAAAATCGAAGCTGATGAGCAATCCTGTAATAGTGTGTAATATCCTTGCGGCTATGCAGCCAAAACTCTACCAACAAAGAAATCAGTTAAATAAAAATAGACCTAACAAACACATTAAAATATTTATCTTTCCTTATTATTTATCGATATTTTGTTGATAAAAAATGAATTCTCAAATCCAGACATTACATGAGACGCCACTGCCTAACTAAACAAATAATCATAAAAAAACCTACCTAACCTCAATTTTATTGTTATTATTTTGATTTGATATAAGAAAATGAGCAACGAAAACTCCGTTATCTACGGTCTAGAGTTCCAGGCCAGAGCCCTAGCGCCCCGTCTAGCGGAAACCGAAAAAATCCACTTCCTAATTGGCACCCAATCCCTGAAGCAAACCAACAACCAAATCCATCTAGTCGAATTCAACGAAGAAATCTCCACAATTAAAACCTCGGTTTTCCACCATTCCGAAGGAGAAATATGGAAAATTACCACCAGTCCTTTGGACGCTTCAAAACTTGCAACTTGCTATAACGTAGTAGCAAACGAGAACAGCTGCAGCTTCAAAACCGCTATACTCCAACTCCCAGACACAGAAAACCCCGATAATATTGAAAATTTGGAAATCCTAACCAAATTCGATACTAGCCAATATGGCAGCGAAATAAAAACCACAGAATTCCACCCCAACGACCCAGCAAAGGTAGCTAGTGTAATCGATAACAACATAATCCTTTGGGATGTATCAGAAACTGATGCAAAACCCATAAAGTCTTTCCAACTAGAAGGCAAACACAACCCCAAATTTACAACAGGCAAGTGGAACCCGCACCAAAACTGCAATCAATTTACAGCTGCAACAGAAACCCATTTAAAAACTTATGACATCAGAATGGGAGATTTAGCTTGGCAAATCGATAACGCCCACGACCAACTAATCAGAGACTTAGATTACAACATGAACAAACAGTACCATGTAGCCACATGCGGCGACGACGCCTTTGTTAAAATATGGGACTTCAGACAACCCACAAACCCAGTTTATTCAAGGAATGAACACTCCCATTGGGTTTGGTGTGTGAGATTCAATCATTTTCATGATCAATTAATATTGACTGCAAGCTCTGATGCCCGGGTACTTTTATCGAGCGCAGCAAGTGTCAGCTCAGAGAATAATATTGATATGAGTGAAGATAAAACTGAAAGTAAACCTTTGTTGTCTGATGGTCCATTGCAATGGTGTGAGCATGAGGATAGCGTTTATTGTGCTGAATGGTCACCCTCAGAGCCTTGGGTGTTTGCTTCCTTGAGCTACGATGGGAGATTGTTGATTTCTAGAGTTAAAAAGTCTTTAAAATATCAAATAATGTTATAGAGGAATTTTGTTTTATGTATTTATTTAAGAAATAAAAATTTGTTTGTGGATATGTAGACTTTTATTTTGTCTGAAGCCTGGTTGACAAGGTCCAAATAGCAGCCATGTTATTGGCTAAGACTTATCCAAGTGGACTTGGATTATTTGATATGATCCAATAAGTACATATAGCGCAGTGTCCAAGTGTACTTGATCTAGGTACATTTGGACTGTATCAACATCAACCTGGCTTAGGTAATATTTGCCCAAGGGGTAAACCACTGTGGCGAATTTGTGCTAACAATTCCTCAAACTACCCGCAAATTCCTTCAAATTCTTTGCAAATTCCTCCAAACTGGTTACGAATTCCTTGCAAATGCCTGTTACAAATTCTATGAAAACCCCAAAAATTGTTCGTGATAAGAAATGAATTTTTCTATTGATACAAAAAATTCCAATTTCTCATAAGTTCCTCCAAGTTCCCCACATATTCCATCCACCAAACGTTAACGTCGGGCGACATCCGCATTGCGAGGCCCTTTTTTATGTAAGGTGGCCATACTTTTTGCGACAAAAAGCTGCATACATATAACCAATCAACGATAATTATCTACCAATACTAAGCCCAAATTAATTTCAGCTTTTTCATAAATAAATATATTTTTTAAAGAAGCTATTTCTACAGTAAGTAGGTATAACCAAAGTTTATAGATCAGCAGAGGCCTTATTGATGGTTAATAATAATAGTACATTTTTGTCTTTTTCAGGCATAATAATAAAATTCCAGGTTCCTCTTTTCTATGTCCATTTTGTCTTAATATATTTTCCAGTTAGGTTAATATTGATTTGGACATTGGACAGCCTTTCTTGCAAACTGGTTGTCACTCTGGACATGGGACAAATGACTGGGAATGGTAGATGTAACCACAACTGACTAACAATGATGGACATGGTCATAGATACAAACTGATTACTTTTCTCTTCCAGATGTGTCAATACCCAAAAAACAGTTCAATGATTCGACTGAATCTTCATGGCAGGGAAGCCCCGGGGGAGCCTAATGTCATAGTTGTCTTGGACCTCATTTGTTGCACTAATATACAACGTAAGTATGGTAAGTGTTTACAGTGGTGCCTTCCTAGCTGGCGAGTGAAGGTTGAATCAATGGATAGTTGACGGTTTTGAATGTACAAGTGTAATTTCAAAGTGCATTAGGCCTAACGGGGAAAACACTTGAAAAAAAAAACGCACCGACAGCTCGTACCTCTAGGGTGGTGTGGAAATTGGGCTTGAAGTTACAATTGGCAAACTTAAAAAGATAAGTTATTGAAAATAAAACTTTTCCTAATGAGAAACTTAAATTATTAACATTTTGTTACAGGTCTGCCTTAATAACCAAGAGTTTAATCCTAAAACTGCAAGATTTTTGAGGAAAGAAGCTGGAAAAAACACTGGAATCCAAATTATGTGAAGTTATTTGAAACATAATTTAATCCATTTTTTATATAAATAGATTTGCTTTCTCCCCTGGTATCACCGTAGTCATGTACAGCTGATACAAAATCCCAAAAATTATTCCTGATAAGAAATGTACTTTTCTATTTTTATTACGCTCAGAGTTAAAACCAATAAATTCCTCCAATTTCTCATCCATTCCTCCAACTTCCCATAAATTCCAAGTTCCCCACATATTCCTCCAAATTCCCCACAAATTCCTCTTCATTCCCCACAATCTTAGCAAAGTATTCCTCAGGTAGTTTGCTCCTTGTATTTGCCCATGATTTTATCAGACTTACAGTGACACTGACAATTTATTTACAATAAAATGACAAAGAAAAAAGTCGACGACTTATATTTCCAGTTATTTTGCGAAAAGAACTCTGATGGAACTAAACATTTGCGCTTACGAGGCAAAGAACTATACCAAAGATTTGGTAAGCCACTCAATCCCAAAAAATTATTTTTCCCAATAAGAAATCCCACAGGTAAAAGACTGGGTCCAAACGAAATGCCCGCTCTGGCCTCTTTCCTCAACAAAAATCCCGAAATCACTTCCCTGGATTTAGCTTATAACGACCTGCAAGATGAAGGCATCAAAATTCTGGCTGAAGAATTCTTTGACCGACCAAATAATATCGTAAATATTAACCTGCTACATTGCGATTTGCATGCTGAAGGTCTAAAGAGACTCTCATCAGCTAAGCATTTGAATTTTCAAATAATACGATTGGTTAGTATTAACTCTACTATCTAGCAACTTCAGATTTATTGTCTCTAGATTGGCAATAAACTAGGGGCAGAAGGTGCAAGATACATTGGCACGATACTGGAAAATTGTCCCGATTTGAAAAACCTAGACATTGGAGAAACTGACCAGACTTTAGAAAGCATCGAATCACTGCTGATGATGATTGAAAAAAGCCAACTAAAATCAATAAATATTTCCAGAATCATACCCAATTCCTATTACTCAAAATATAATAATTCAACTCTAGCAGATGATTTGGGGGTGTTACTCAAGCTGAATACCTCTTTGGAGGAGCTTAGAGTGCAAAAGTGTGAATTTGATGGTAAGAATTATAGTTTTAAAATATACATAGTTGAAATTTTATATTTAGGCCACGACGTTGAGCTACTTTTAGGAGGCCTAAAAGTCCATATAAATCTGAAAATGCTGGATTTAACTGCCAATAAAATTGGCGATGATGGTGTGCTAATTTTATGTCATTGGCTGAAAACTCGTCCTTCTTTAATGGCACTTCAAATTTCCGCCAATGATATTACTATTGTTGGCGGTCAAGCACTTGGCTTGGTACTACCGTTTACAAGAATCAGATTGTTGGATTTGCACAATAACAAAATTCAAGACAAAGGCTTGGCCGAGATTTTCGATACAATAAAGAAAAGTACCCAAATGCGATACCTTTATATTTGGGGTAATTATTTGGGCCCGATTACTTTGGCCAAAATCGAAAAACTGCTGGAATCTGGGGTATTGGAACAAAACAATATTGATGTTAAAGTTTATTATGTTGACGGAAAACGTTATGGGGCTTATTATCCGACCAATCAATTTACCCAACGGTGCTACTCGATAATGGAATATGGATGTCCTCCAGAATTAAAGATCAAGCGTAATAAAATACGACATCCTTATGCGCAGCCAAGGGTTCTAATTGATTTTAACTTTTTCGATCAATATCCGCCTGTTGATGAAAGTTTGGGCTTCAAGGTACCATTTGCAGCACTAGAAGATCTTTGAAAATACTAATCAATAAAGGTTTAATCACAACCAATACAGTATTAAAATTCTTTTTTCGAATAATTATTACCTAACAACAAATTTATATTATGTAAATATTGCACGCTGTTCTCATGCAATAATAACAAGCGTATAGCAATACAAAATTGTGGGAATTTCAATTTCCAATTGAAGCATTATTATATCCAATCTTATACAAAAAAAATTATTGGTTCTCTGTTTGTATGCATCTACAAAGGTTCCTCATCAGGAGAATCTCCCGCATCATCATCAGCATCATTTTGCTGCTGTTGTTCCGGTCTGATGTTGTTTAGCAAATCACGCATAGCCTCAACAAGAGACGCCACACTGCGTCTCAATTCTCCATTATCTTCTAGAGCTTGTCCATTGTCTTCTAGAGCTTGAGCTTCATCCATTAGACCACTAAAATGAAAGATTTTCTTATGGATGAAATAAAAGTTTAAAATAGTCAATTATTACCCTTCTTGAGCAGGAGGAAAAACTTCCTGCAATTGATTAGGATTGAATTGAGGCCTAAGTGAGTTAATGAACATCATAAAAGGATTAGTAGAACTATGGCTGTTGACATTTCTTTGAGGCCTGGTATATAAATTAATAGAGTCTTTGGGTGGTAAAGGATCCCAGCTCATTATTGGTCCAGTTGAATCAGAATAGGACACACCTTTAATGTCATCTGACAAAATGATATGTCGTCCTATGCTTAAAGGTAAAGGCCCTGAAAATCTTCTGAGGCGTATTTCTTTGTATTCTTCAACTATTGGCTCTTTTCGGTCTACCATGTCAAGGACTTCGTGCACGTTTTTTTCTAGCCACGGTAAAAGGTCATGATCTTTCCATATGTGATAGTTTCGGTTGACGTAGAGGAGGATTAATTGGTTCAAGGCTGCTGGTGTGCTGAAAGGATTCGGTTGAGCAATTTTTCAAATTGAAATTTTCAGGCTTACTTTTTTTCATTTTGGTTGCTGAAAAATTGATGAGTGGACACTCTGGTGTCGATTTGTATTGAACACTTATCGAGTAGAAGCATTAAGGCTCTAGGAAACATTAATAAGGCATTCTACAATTAAAATTTGTTAATAAACTGTTACACATAGAAGACTAATAATTCTTACCTGTAAGTATGAATCTGCCTTATTCGTTTCACCTAAATAAAAATGAGCCACTGCAACAGAAAAAACCATATTGGGCAGCTGCAACAAGTTATACACCGGATCTAATTCCTCAACAAAATCGGCCAACCATTGATACTCTTTGGCTCTCAAAGCGTAAAAATCAATAGCCAATTTTATAGCAACAGGATCGTTGTCGGGTTCCAAAGATAATAGAAGCTTGCAAAATTCTAGTGCAGTGCGACAACACGCTCTGCCGCCTAGGAAAGTTAAATGTTTAAAAATTGTAATGTACAAAGCGCGATTTTCTTGTCTGCGATAATCTAAACGACAGTTTCCTTGGGTTACGTTGAACATCGGGTGGAATGAAAATTCCAAAGAGTACAAGGCCCTTTCAATAAGTTCAGCGGCTGTTGATAAATCTTCACTGAGTTTACAAAAATCAGATAGTTGAATCAGAGCATTGACGTGGTAAGGATATTCATTGATTAAACTGACGATGTGGTCTGGATTTAAACTGTCAACAGCCTAAAATTCAGTTGGTAAATAATTAAACTAATAAACAACTTGATGCTTCCTACTTTTAAAAATGTATTTTCTGCTTGTCTATAATTTTGACTATGCTCATAAGCGAAATATTGAAGTCCATCTTTGCTCTCTAGCAAGGTCATAGATAAACCAGCTTTCCCCATTTGAGGCACAGTTTCTCGAGAAGTTGCCATCCAAGTGTTTTTTAGATGGCCCCTAGAGCCACCTGCGCCACGATTTTTTCGTTTACTTGAAAATAATCAATTATTACAGATTTTTTTAAAAAAAATAAACTAATAATTACACTCACTGTTCTGCTTGTATAATTTTAGAACCAAACATTTTTTTAAGCTCATTGTTTGCATTCAAGTGCTTATGTTGGACACTAAGCACTGATTTCCTGTGATTGGTGCCGCTATCATGGGATTTTTGATTGGTAGGAACATGGATTTTGGGGCTTTCACCTAAAAGCCTGTTCACTTCCCTGAGAGATCTTTCCACTTCATCAACCTAAGGTTTTATATAATATAGAAAAATTTGGTTATTGAAATAAAATTAAGAATACATCTGCGTTATCCTCGCTACTCCTGTGAGTGTTGGCGTGTTTTCCAGACTTCTTTTTACGTTTTTTTCGCTTCTTTTTTACGGATTCGTGTACGTGCTCGCCTTCGCACGATTTGGCCGCTTCGGTTTCGTTGTCATCTTCTTTTACTTCGCTTTCAGAGTGAGATTGTTGGTTCAGCTACAAAATTTATAATTTTGCTAAGAACTATAAGAAACTTTTTAAATGTGGAAATGTCAGTTGATAGTGAGTGATTTATCGTGAAAGTTGAGCCGAAATTTATGGAAAAAGACGTCAGGAAAATTGAAAAATCCAAAAATTTACACAAGTAAATCTATGTGCGATGATCCCGAGACATTGTACATTTTCACAATGGATATACTCATGAAGAACAAGTCTATCTGCGGTATTTACTTCATGTCGCACGTTGCACGTTGCATATTTGATGTTCCATTGGTGTACAGGCTAGCCCCCATTAATTATTTTTCCAAAATGAGAAACTACCCCGTGTGATACCCCCTTTGAAAGGTTTTTTTATTCCTCTTTAGAGGCGTGACCATTTCATTTTAGCTACAATATGAACATGATCATTTGACTGATTCAGCTATTCTATCAAAGCCCCATTAGACTGAATTCACTTGAAACCGCGTTGTGCAGCTGACACCCAACAGCAAATCATAATTCAGCCATTTCTCGCCGGTATTCGGTAGTGCCCCACTGCTACACTTACCTTTAATAGTATAATCGTGCAACAAATGGGATCCTAACCTATTATGGTGGACGGCTTCCCCAGAGGACACTAATTTTTGGTACAGCAACTTTTCATCAGTGGTAAATAAAATAGATGAGTGGAAAGTAAGGGTATTGGCTCATAGTCCAACAATAGTTATGCTTACCGAAACCTGGTTACAAGATGGGATTGATGACAGCATAATATGTCTAGATGGCTACAGCATTTTTCGAAAAGATCGACCAAATTAAAAAGGGGGCGGAGCATGTATTTTTGTTAAAAATCAAATAGATGGGCATAACCTAAGTTGCACCCTTGCTCAAAACCACCTGACAGATGCACCTGTTGATGCTGTATGGCTAGATGTACGCATAGACAAGTTAAAAATTATAGTTGCCTGTATCTACAGATCTGGAAACACCACTACTGAGCAAGCCAATACCCAGCTGACAAATACAATATGCAATGCATTTACCACAAAAATTCCAGCATTCGTTTTCGGAGATTTCAACTACCCAAACATAAACTGGGAAAACTTAACTGTAACCCCAGCCAACAAAAAAAGACAAGATTTTGTAGACATGTAATGTGATAGCAACATTCATCAACTTATCAAATTTGCAACTCGATATAGGAACGATCAGAGCTCATTGTTGGATTTGTTTTTATGCAGTGATCCTAAAAGTGTATTTGACCTTAAATCTGAAGCACCTATAGGGCGTAGTGATCATGTCATAATCACCGCAAAAACACAATTAAAACTCCCACCCAAACCAACAAAAAAAATTTTGAAAAGAAACTTTCATACTGCCAAATATGATAAAATAAACAATTTTATCAGACAACAACAACCCAACAGAGAGCAAAATAACTTCGAAAACTTTGAGACAGTTTTGAATGAAGCAGTTAGGATGCATATTCCATTGAGGTCTACAAAAATGAACCAGCAAAAGCCATGGATAACCCAAAATCTATTCAGAGAAATTGATAGAAAGCGTAAATTGTGGGATGAATACAGAAAAAACAAAACAGAAGAGAACTACCAGGCCTACATGTTACAAAACAATACTCTTAAACAAAAGCTCGAAGAGGCTAGAAAAACATGAACATAATCTAGTAAAATCAGATTCACCTAGAAGAATATACAAGTATATAAGCAGAAACCTAAACTGTAAGGTAACTACAATTACACTCGAAGACCCTATTACGCAAGATATCTTAGACTCTAAATCCATGGCAGAAAAATTTGCTGAACAATTTAACAAATCCTTCACTCCACGTCAAAATCGTCCCCTTTCCCAACTTCCTGTGAGTACCAGAGTACAGAACGCGATTAGCACTGTGCAGTTCACAGAAGAAAAGGTCAAAGAAACTATAAAAAACATGAAAAAGGACTCAAATCCTGGACCAGATGGTTTTCCAACAATATTGCTACAGAACTGCAGTGATTCAGTTGGTTCACGACTCGCGGATGCTATGCAGGAGTGTATAGAGCTAGGAAGAGTACCAGAACAGTGGAAGCTGTCAATTGTTACTCCACTTTTTAAGAAAGGCAACAGACATCAGCCGGAAAACTACCGTCCAATTAGCCTAACCTGTAAGCCATTGAAATGTATGGAGAAAATAATGGTGAAAGAAGTAACAAATTTCTTTTTTGAAAATAACTTAATACCATTGTCTCAACATGGGTTTCTCTCAAAACGTTCAACCTCAACAAACCTATTAGAATGTCTGAATGATTGGACGGAATACCACGATAACTCCCAGCCGACAGATATAATTTACTTGGACTATGAGAAGGCCTTTGACAAAGTCCCACATGACCTGTTGCTTGGAAAATTGGAACATTATGGAGTGCGAGGGCGGCTTTTGTCTTTGATAGCTGATCTACTGGATGAACGATACTACCAAGTAAGAGTAAATGGAGAAATGTCAAGCAAACATTTAGTTAGTAGCAGAGTTGTGCAGGACTCGGTGCTTGGACCGCTGCTCTTAACTTCCTATCTCTTTGATCTTGTTAACCACATAGATACAAAAATGAAAAATTTTGCTGATGATGGCAAACTCTATGCAAACCCAATACTCAGTGCAGTACTACTTCAAGAAGACTTAAGAAAAGTTGAAGAGTGGTCTAGATTGTGGGGAATGAAGCTGAATGAGTCAAAATGCACGGTACTAAGAATTGGCCCAAATAATCCAAACCAGGACTACTCTTTAAATAACATTATTCTGTCGACTGTGGCAGAGCAAAACGATCTTGGAGTCATTGTTACATCAGACCTCAAATGGGAAAGCCACATTGTGAAAATAGCCAAAAAAGCGAACTCTTTGTCTATCTTATTAAACATGCATTTAGAGATCACTCAATCGAAATGATAACTAAGTTATACAAAAGTTACATCAGGCCAAAACTGGAGTATGCATTCACAGTGTGGAACCCTTACTATATCAAGGATATTGAGATGCTGGAAAAAATTCAAAGGAGAGTAACAAAGATACCACCAGAACTGCAAAATCTACCATACTCTGAAAGGTTAACAAGATTTCAGATAACAACTCTAAAAGAAAGAAGGCATAGAGGGGACTTGATAGAAACTTTTAATATTACAAGTGGATATTATAACTGTGCCATTGAAAATATCTTCCATCAAAATCAAAATCAGCAACTTCTAGGACATTCCAAAAAACTAGACAAAGGAAAAGCTGCAAAACTACAACGTAAAAATTACCTTACTAATCGGATTGTTTACTCGTGGAATGCTTTATCGGAAAACACAGTAACGGCTCCTACCATAAACGCGTTTAAAAACCGATTAGACAAAGAGCTAAAAAATAGTGCAGCAAGAATGATACATTATAGTGCATAAAACAATGTGAACAATATCTCTACAGACAAAACGATAGCTTCATCGGTTTTACCGCCTGCTATTGGAACATTACAGGATTACAGGATGGTAGCTTGGGTAATTATTATTTTTTTAAAAGTGGATAAGAAAAAAAAGGTACAATAGCTTGTTTACATTACCCTGGTCCCTTTTTTCTTTAGTGATGATTCATCAATTGGTATATGCACAAAACACAAATTTCAGATTGTTCTAAAAATATAATGAAGGACTTTTTGAGAATGATCATTATTCGAGTGGCAAAAATTGCCAAAACTACTTAAGTAGTGCAAAACAATTATAATTTTTTTTTTATGTAGGTATACTTATTATTTATTATGCATCAGATAATATGTACTGGTATTACGATGTAGATATATAACTTTTCATATTTAATGGGACGACTTTTCAGTATAATCACTGATCAAAGATCCATTGCATTTATGTATGATAATAAGAGTTTATCAAAAATCAAGAATGAGAAAATAATGGGTTAAAAAATAGAATTATCATGCTACAAATTTGATATCATATATAAGCCAGGAAATTGAAACATTGTAGCTGACACACTTTCCAAGATATCAGCTGCTATTCAACCATCAACATCAGAGAAAAATTTGTATAAATTACACAACACAATGTGTTATCCTGGCGTCACGAGATTTTATCATTGGAGTAGATGTAAAAATTACTAGAAGACATGCAGAGATAAAGCCAAGATCCTATAAAAACCAAGGAACTCTCATCAAAGCCATAGCACCATTTGAAAAATTAAATATTGACTTTAAGGGACCATTGTCTTCCAACAATCACAACAAATATTTATCAGATATTGTAGATGAATACTAAAGATTTCCATTTGCATTTTTCCATGTTCAGGATATATCATCTGCAACAGTAATAAATTGTTTGACTCATGTATGCCTATCAAATGGAGGAGAAATAACTGTATCAACTCGTCATTTAACACCAAGGGGAAATGTGACACTGCCAGCTCTAACAGATCAAGATCAAAATTGTGAAAATGATGTGACATGTGACTTTACTAGAACAAGATCAAAATGCCATAAATCTGCCAGAATAAGATTTTAATGAGTTAAATATTCCATCAGTCAGTTCAGAACGTTTATCATCGTCATTCCCTATAAATGACTCTAATCGTTCCCCAAAATTCCGAAGAATCTCATAATGAAAATCCTCCAGCTTTATCTACAGTGAAACCTACTGATAAATTATGTCATGTTATGGTAAAGAGAAATTACAAGCTACCTTCATATCTTCGAGATTAAGTCAGAAACTGTGCGAGGAAGAATGTTGTATATCTCATTACCTTATCTACTGCGTTTCCTATTTATTTACATCTTTGTCAGTATGTCAGAATTCTGTACTGAATTTTAGTCTGTGATTTTAGTTTATTAAAGCCTTAATTCTAAAGGTCTTTTACTACAATAAAGATATAAAAAGTTCAGAATAGAATCTAAAATAATCCGAACAGACACTTGAAAAAAAATCTTGAATTTGAAACTTGTGGAAGATGTTTTTCAATCAAATTGATATTGATTTCTCGAACTGAGATTGTTGATTTCACCAAAAATCTTTCAATAATAATAAAATACAGTAGCTTCTTACCAAATCGTATCTGTTTATATTCAGTTGCTTCTTTCTGGCACCCCCTATGGGCATATCCATGTCCAAGTCCGAAATATTATCATTTTCCGGCAATTCTTTGTCTTTTTCGTTTTGCAACTTGCGCAGCACTCTCGAAGACATTGTTCTTTCAAAGTTTCGATACAAATCAAAAGCTGTTCAATGCAATTTTTATTTAGAAAATAGTTATAATTTGGTGAACAAAGTTTTTTTTAAAGTGTGTATATTTTTCCATTGACAAGTTTCGATCAGCTGATTGAATTGACTTATGGTTGTTTGATGTGGCAACACAGCAGCAAGGATATTACACACGTTTGTTTGTTTGTGTTGTTCGGGGCAGCTATTCCTGCTTTACCGTTCTTTGTGTGCGTTTTACATGGTTTCATCGGATTGTGAATCGATAATAATGAGTGGTATGAATAAAAACGAAGTACATGCTACTATTACAAATAGAAGTATATTCTATGAAGTATCTACTTCACAAATAAGGATTTACTAATTTACGGTAGTTTCGAAATGTAGTATCTACTCCATTTTGAAGTAAATACTACGAAAAATATATTGATACTTGGAGATGCTTGATGTAGTAACAGATAAGATACTTAACTTCGCTTTTATTCACATACCACCCATAGTTCAAATCTCAAGCCCCCCACCACACTAGGGATGCCAAAGCACCAGTGATGATGTAGAAAATTATCAATGACGGTAGTTAACAACGTTGTCAATGGTGCTACATATATGGCCGCACTTCCAGATTCAGAGTTGAGACTGATTCAGATTTTTTTATTATTTATTCAGATAATCTCATTTTAAATTCAGATACTTAATTTATTGTTTATGCTGAATTATAAATGTAATCTGAATTACATCTAATGTTACCTGATTTACAATTTTTTTACAGGAATTTCCTATATAATTAAATTTAAAAGTAACAAGAGGTTGAGAACAAAATGGCGGCGAGACCTCTATTGTCACCACTGTATGTAAAGGTTTATTCAGCCACTGTACCAATAACGAGGCCGATAAAACTGCAATCCTGCAGTAGTGTGTAATATCCTTCCTGGGCCGAGATTCTAAAATCACGATTCGACACACGACTCGATAACGATACCGGCCTTGTCGTCTCGAAAGGTACAATTCCAATGAGATTTCTAACCTAGAATCGTCGGAAAAATCGTCTCGTTGTCGAGTCGTATGTCGAATCGTGATTTTAGAATCCCCGGCCTGGAGCTAAGCCTTTGATTTCTCAATATAAAAATTCACTCCACATTCCTTTCACAATTGGTGGTAAATAACCTGCACTGGTTATCAAACTAAGGGCCAGTTTCTCAAACACGGTAACCCAACGGTAACTACAACACACTGGTAATGCACAATAGGTATATTCGTTTCATCATAAATATGTGGTTTAGCCAAACCAAAATCATTGGTTACGCGATATACGTCAATATAATAGGTATGGGAATGACGCACCTTTCTTTGACAGTATAATCGCCATAATTAGGGTTTCCATACGTCCGGATTTACTCGGACTCAGTGATGGTATATTAGGGAATTTCTCCCTAAATTTAGGGAAATTTTCAGCAATTAGGGAAAAAGAGAAATTTATGCTAGATTTAGGGATTTTTTAATTTATATTCCCATAATATTTTAGCGCAAAATGGAAAATAATTTACTATTTTTCATACATATTATGCTTTTTATTTATAAAAAATAACAATATCATAATGAAAATACACTGTTTATGGGTTTATGCCATTTATTACAACGTGTTAGAGATAGAAAAGAAAAACAATCTCTATTGCAGGTTGCTTGCATAAATCGAATATCCCTCTCTAACGCATACAAATAGAGAAAGATACAAAAGAAATATTTTGTACTGAACACAATGTCGTCCAATTAGTTGTTTTCAGATTTTACAATTATCTACTCGTACTTTTTGACAGTTTTAAATGGTTTCAGGTTCAAATGCGGAATTCCCCTGTAGTACTAGAAATCGAATATTTTCTGAAACTAGGGATTTTTATATCAATCTAGGGAATTTTTGGAGCTTGTATGGGGAATTTCAACTACACCGATCTACCAACACTGACCCCTGACCCGGACATGTTTGGGTTTTTAGGGTGTCCGGGGAAGTCCGGCCGGAATTCGGAACAATGTCCGGAAAACTCGGAGATCGTGAAAACATTCATACTCACTCAGTTTACGCACTATTCAAAAGACGTAAAATTTTACTTTACGCATAAAAGTACGTAAAGTATTCGCTTTACACTCCGTGAAATAATGTCAATGACATATGTCGACACTATCATTTTTTTCTAGTAAATTACTTCACTTTACGCACTAGTGCGTAAAGTATTTGTCTGAATTTATTTTTTTACACATATTTTATTGGTAGTAGAATTTTTTTTGAATGTGCAATACTGGTGTAAAGTGAACCTTTTTTCACGAATGTGAATTTTGTCGCACTCGCCTTTCATTTTACACACTTGTTGCATAAATAGCTATTTCGGCAAAGTCCGGATTTCTTGACTTCTGTGTCCTGAGTTCCGAAAAACTTTTATGGAAACCCTAGCCATAATCAGCAATAGTTCTAGGTTAGGGGATTCGTGCATGAATCCCCGCGGAAGCCAAATTTATGTATTATACATTACTAGTTGACCCTGAGAACTTCGTACCGCCTGTGAATTATTAGGCAATCCAATCCATCTGTCAAATAGGAAAATTCAATATGGCGTGGCGGCCAAGCAAGTTTGCTTTGAATATGTTTTTATGCGTATTTTAAATTATTTTGCTAAGAGTTTTGGTTACAACTTTGATTTTCATTATTTAATGAAATATTTGTTGACTAGGTACTTAAACTATTGAATCGGGCAGAAACTAGATATTTTTTTGTATTTTTTGGCCCATGTGTGGCCGCCACACCATCTTGTATGTCACGTGGTTTGAATTGCCTAATTAAATACCTATTAAATGTTGTGTTAACCTATCTATTAGCTGAATTAAATTCAGTTTTTCCGATGGTGAATTTGGCTTTGCTTGAAAAAAATTAATGTTTACTCGCTCTATGGATCAGAAGTTACCTAAAATTAAAATTTTACATCATCCCTTTTTAGGCAGCTTGTGGGCATTATTCTTGTAAAGTGTACCACCAAATAAATAAATTCAGGCACAGGAATGTTCAAAAAATGTAAAGAAAACAAAAAAAATCTCCAGCGTAGTCCTGTTTCACTCTATCTGCACTGCATTACTCCATCTGTTTTACTCTATCTGCACTATTCTATCTGATCTACTCTTTCTGCACCACTCTATCTGATCGCAATAGTGGAATAGCTCTGTTCAGAATAGCTCCAGTTCTTGAGCAGCATTGTTCTACTGTATTGTATCTACAATGAAATTACCGCGCAACGGCGAGCTTCGTTTTAGGTATCAAAGATGGCGCCGTATACAAAATGGTTTGCAATGAAAATGTGGCGGTAAGCTTGGTATTGGTTATAAGAGATGGCGCTTAGTGAATTTTTTTCATAAATAAGTAAAATAAGTATTTTTTTTGGATTTATTCAATTTATTATGTTATTAAGGACAAAGACAAATCCAATAAAGCAAAAATCATAAAAATCAGTCCAGCCGTTCTCGAGTTATAAGTGTTAGAACCAACCCAACTGTGTTTTATATAGATTGAGAGATTGAATGTTGGTGTTAGTAGGTAGGGATAATGACTGATGATGTTTTTTTTTTTCATTCCTTTCATTATCTGAAAAAATAGGGGCCCCAAAAAATAAATTAGCACCGGGTCCACCAGCGGCGTAATCCGCCTCTGGGCAGTTCGGTGCAAATCACCGAGGCCCCCGAGACTTGAGGGGCCCCGTAGGGGCCTCTTATTAAATTTGTCCTAAGTATCTACCTATTTCAATAAATTCGTAATATGTATGTGGATTAAAAAAAAAATATATATTAGAGAAATGACATACCGTTTTCTAACCCGGTTACAAACTGACGTGATGGATACCTACCAGTCCTACCATCGTATTTGAGCGGTATGTTGCGGTTTGTTAAACCGGAGCCACGTGAAAAGGGTTTTAGGGTTTAACAAACCGCAACATACCGCCCAAATTCGAGTGGTAGGTATCCATCGTCACTATGTAACCGGGTTAGAAAACGGTATGCCATTTCTTTAACCGTTTTGTAACCCGGTTAGTATAAACCGGAGCCACGTGAAAAGAACTGATGTTCTGGTATTTTTAATGGTTGCTAAGGAATCGATAGAAAACAATACGAGAATTACTTTTTTGGCCTAGGCCGGGAAAGAGTGTTGATTTTTAGAAACAACACAGAAGCATTCCTATTGTATGTGTATTTCAGAGGGAAAGCACATTCTCGGCCTTTGGTGTTTGCCGGCCTCGGCTGCGCCTCGCCCGTCAATTTACACTGTCGGCCTTCGGCCAAGAATGTGTCACTTTTCTCCCTAGATACACAATATACCATTTTTGAAGGCCTAAAATTACCGTTTTTGGGCGTGGCACCCAAAGAAGACTCCGGCAGGGCCAATGGCGGCCGGGTTGATCTAATCTTGTACCGAAGCCCTCTGATGTCAAGTTACGCTACTGGCTACATATTTTTTGTATGAATTATTCGGTTTTTCTTTCCGTATTTTTCTGAAAGAGTGCATACTAGGAATATCGGAAAAAAAAATTGATAAAGGTTAAAGTAAAAAAAAGCATTTAGTTTAGGAACAATTCAAATATTTCCCAAAAATATCTGAAAATGCTGATATCTGAAAAACGACATGTGGTCAAACAGGTCCCAAATGACCCCAACTATCACTCATTGAAAACTTATTATCGATGTACCAAACACCCTGTATATTGTGTAGGTACTTAATCTTTGTCAAACTGCTGGTACATCCTGCAGCAAAATTATTTATAGCCTGATGCATTTGGCAAAGAATTTTTTTTTTTTAAAGACTTTTGGTGTGTCCCAAGGCCGGCGTCGCGACGCTCGGCCTTTCGACAGTGTCGGGCGAACGGGCGTCCCGTGCGTCGCCCTTTTCCTGAAGGGCTGAAACCGCGCAACTACTAACACAGAGTAATCAATATTACAGTCTGATGACAGGAATCGAAAAATTAGAAGTAATTTTTACGTAGTAATAATATACCTAAGTGAGTTAGATTTTTCCCATAAGCCAATGAAAATCAAACAGTTTTTTTTTTTGCAAATTGAGTGATTTTT